TGAAATGGATAAGTAATTTAGAACGGGAATTATTAGAAAAAAAAGAAAAAGAAAAATTAATAATGGGAAGTTATAAAAAAAATTCACTTGGTTAAAAAGATTTATATGGAAGTGTTCCACTTTTCAATAATTAATAATAAAATTTTAAAAATCCTATTTATCAAAAGAATGCAACTAACCATTTTAAAAATAAAATATAAAATAGTCTTAATTGTCATATTTTACGTATAAACAACTAATATTAAACAATTATTTTACCAAATATTTTAGCACAAGTAGCTAATATGTTCGGCTAGTTAAACCGGCTAGTAAAACCAGCTATCAACTCGCAACTAATTGTCAAACACATCAACGTATATATTTTTTTTAACTTTTTAATTAAATTTGACATAATATTATTAATCCACATATTATGCCAAACTCAAAATACAAAATTAAAATTTTACAAATAAACAAATCATTTATACAACAATAAATTATATTTATAACGTTAAATATAAATATATAATTTCATAGACTAAATTGCACAAAAGCTATCTTTTTATAAAATTGTGTCAAATCTCCTATATTTCTAAAATTGCGTCAAACTTTCTCGTGATATTATAAACTCTGCGTTCTCACCTCCGTGGCAGTCCTTATTTAACGGTTTTTTGACCTAAATGTGCCCAAATTAGAATAAATTTTAAAATCTCAATTTTTAAACTCTTAAAATTACAAATATATTCATATTTCTTATATTTAGCCTCAAACAATAGTAAATATACTAAAAAATAATTATTTTTCTCGGGTTTTAAGAGTTTTTTCTACTGTTTTTTTAGGCTAAATATAAGAAAAATAAATATATTTATAATTTTAGGACTTTAGAAATTGAGATTCTAAAATTTATTCTCACTTTAAGCGCATTTAGGTCAAATGTCATTAAATAAGGATCACCGATGTGATTAGACGCAGAGTTTATATAATCACGAGGAAATTTGATGCAGTTTTAGAAGTATAAAAATTTGACGCAATTTCGTAAAACTAAATATAAATTTTGTGCAATTTAATCCAATTAAATATATATAATAAATAATAAAAATAATCTAGCCGCCTTTCTCATATTTCTTTCTTTTTTTTTTTTATTATTATTTAAATGGTGGAGTCTATATCAAAAATAATATAAAAAATAAAAAGGCAACGTGATCAATTCAATTTATATAAATATACAATTAAATGTATATATTAAATAATAATAACCTAGCCGATTTTCTCATCTTTTCTTCTCATTTTTTTTTATTATTATTTTAAATGGTGAAGTCTATATCAATAATTTTATAAAAAAAAATAAAAAAGACTACGTGATTAATCCAATTTGAATTTAAATATATATATATATATGATATGATAAATCAGAGAAATAGAGAGAGAGATAGAAATCTTTACAAATTATTATTAATAACCTGATAAATATTTTTTTAATTTATAATATATTATACAAAATGTATACTTAGTATTTATTATTAATAATATATATATATATATACTCTTTCTGTTTAAAAGTAAATTTTTATTTGATTTTTGTTGTTAATAATGTAAATTAGTATTTTACAGATATATAGTATACTATTTATTTTACACTTAATATTAAAGTAAAAAATAATGTCATATATAAAAAAATGACAATTTTGGTATTTAGGTGAAAATTACTTGCTCTAAAGAAATGAGACATTTTGATTCGAACATACTAAAATTGTAAAATAAAATTTTACTCTTGAATGGGATGAAATATTACTCTTTTAGTTTCACTTCAATGGGCCTCTTTGGATTTTTATTACTCCCCATGTCCCATTGTAAAGTTATCATTTTCTATTTTCGTCCATCATAATTTAGTAATTGTACTATCTACTTAACATACTAAATATCTTTTTAATTTACAATATATTACACAAAATGCCATTATTTTTATATTACACCATACTAATAGGATATATTTTCTTTTTTACTATAATCTAATATAATACTATGTTAAGAAATCTAAGTGCAAAAAGCAAATATCACAATTTCAATGGGACGAGAGGGAGTTTAATTAATAAAATAATACTTTATGCGCCGCCTCTAGAGTTACATTTATCTTTTGCATTATTGTATTTAACAATAAAAAGATTCTTATATTTGTATAACTTTTTTTTGGGGTACAAATGTCCTTCTATTAGTATTATAACACACTAATAAAAGTATTTTTATATTTTTCTCTTGATTTGTATGCGTTTTGATATAATATTCTCGCCATTCTAGTAAGGATGACCTATTTGGTTAGGAATACAGAGGTAATGTAGACTACTACATTATTAATAATAAATTATGATATTATTTTATTTTTTTTTACCTGAGTTGTGTTGTTTATACTTTAAATATTTTTAAAATTATATCTCAATAAAATATATACATAAATATCTTTTTGTACTCCCTTCGTTCCATTTAGTTTGTCGGCACTTTATATTTCCATCAATCACACATAATTTGTTCTTTATTTTTTAGAAATTTAATTATACACTTTAATCATATTTTAAAATTCATAATTTATAAATTTTTATTTTAATTAAATTATTTAGTCATATTAATCTTAATCTATAATTGTTTTAATTAAATTATAATTATTTACTAATTATATAATACATAAAATTTTGTTTCTAAGCTAAAAGAGATAACTTTAACTGGGATGGAATGAGTAAATAATAAAATTGTATATAATACAAATAAATAAAAAAAAATATTTATTTATTAACTCAAAACTAATTTTTATAAAAAATAAAAAATTTAAATATACTTAAAAAAAAGTAAAAATTTTTAAAATAAATAAATTTATTAAAAAAAATACCTTTTATGGGACAAAATATAAAGGAAAAAATATACTATGTGGCGAACAGAGTATGTATGTATGTATGTATGTATTATTATTATTATTATTATTATTATTATTATTTATAACTCAAAATATTTATTATTATTAATATAATATCATATAAATATATCTATTTAGAGTTATTTAATTGTATAAATTCACGGATATTTATTTCTAATTATAGTAATTTAAAATTTAATTATAAATTTTAATTTTGCATTTCGCCTTTAAGGTATCATTTATTTTTTTGTGTTGATATTTGAATATTAATTATTATATCAAAATCTAGTATAAATTAAAAAAAATTGCAAAAAATACTTTTATTAGTGTCTTATAATTCTAATAGAAGGAGATTTTGTAAAAAAAAAAAAAAAAATTATACAAATATAAAAATAATTTTAATATTAAGTATAATTATGCAAAAGATAAATGAGACCTTAGAAAGTTTGGATGGATCGAGTATATATATATATAATATATATCTAATCAAGAAAGTAAAAGAGATGTATTACCAGTAATGAAACATCCAACCTGTCTTCCCTGCACCATCACACATGTATAGATACACATGTGTGAATCTTCATGTGATGTGCAGGATGGAGGAGATGACAGAAGATCTCGTGCCTAGGGATGGCAGTCGAGCCGCGCATTTAGTTAGTGTCGGATCCAATTATTCGGGGATTGGATCCGGATTTGCGTCGGGTATTGTGTACCCTTGTCGGAGTCGAATTGGATTGGGTCGAGTCGGGTCTCAGGTCCAATGGTAGACCCTATTCGGATCTGAATCCGAACCCGATCCCACTCGATTCATATATTCATTATATACATTTGAGAAAAATAATTTTTAATAATATAAATTATATAACAATATGTTTTAGTTTAATTTTTTATAATTTTATTATAATATTTTTGAATTATAAAAATATTCGAGTATGTCGGATCCATCAAGTCTTGTCCGATATTGTTCGGATCAGGTCCAGTATAGTCGAATCTAGGTATAGTAGGGTCTAATTCGAATCTTGGGTCGAACCATGTGTATTCGGGTCGGGTCTCGGGTTTGGCTGGACCCAACCCATTGAAATCCCTACTCTGCACCAATATCCACCCTACGTTTCCGCACCATCACATATATGTATATAAAGTCATCTTCAACTCACAAATTTTATTTATTTATGTAATTTTAACTTCAAAAATACATTCGGTATAATATTTTTACTCTAATTCATAACTTTATTTATAGGACTGCAGCGTAAAAAATACAGCTCATTTGGAGATGTCCTAAATCCGAATATATGAAAGTGGCTTGATTTCGACAAATTTGACTTCATTTGCGTGATTGTGTTTTCTTTTAAAACCTTTGAATTTGTATGTATTAAACAAGTTATAAATTTCCCCATCTTAAAGACTTATAAGGCATATGAATTTGTCTGAGTTGAAAAAATTAAACGTGTAAAATGTTGCTAGTTATGGCTGCAATATTATTTTTCTAACTCAACTTGCACTTTAATTAAATATAAACGTGATACTTTCTCTCCGTAATTCAAATTTATTTATTTATTTATTTTTATTATCTAAATTTATTTATTTTTACTAAAAAAATAATATATATATTTTTTTTACTTTGTTTAAACCTTATGTTGAGAATTCTGTTTGTAGATAAATAATTAATGGTTGCGTTCCTTAACAGATTTTTAAGTGAGACGGTCATTCTACATCCGACATGGTATTAAAGTTAAGAGTAGGTTTCAAATTCGAGTCTCATCGTCCCCATTTGCGTGTTCAGAACTTTTATTTACGAATTGTTGAGGACTCCCGTTTGCGGGATATGTAACTAATGTCTTAGTTTCCCTAATAAGTTCGAGCTTTTAGGTGAGACGGTCATTAGTTTCCGACATGGTATCAGAGCCTAGGTTAGGTCTCGAGTTCGAGTCCCGCCCGTCCCTATTTTGTGGCATATGCATGTGCAAGTTTCAATAAATTCGAGCTTTTAGGTGAGACGGTCATTAGTTTCCGACACGAATAAATAATTAATAACTGTGATTCTCTAATATATATATATACATACATATATATTATATATATGGTCCCCAATAACGTTGTCCTAGTCTGTGGATGACTCTATAAAAGGGTATGTAATAATGTGTGGACTCTGCAGTTCATCACTCAAGATAAGAACATAAAATTTAAACTTGCAATGGCGAAAAGCAGCTTTGTTCTTCGAATGAATGGTGGAGACGATTCACTCAGCTACGCCAGCAACTCTGGCCTTCAGGTATGTAATAACATTATTATTATTATTATTTTTATTTAGATAAAATAATTATTAGGGTGTGTTTGTTTGGGGGTTTAGATTTTGAGTTGGGATTTGAATAGTAAAAATTTTGAATTTGAATAGTTGTATAATGTGATATAAATAGGTGTTGATGTGATGTTTTGAATGTAAAATTAATTTTTAGTATAATATAAAAAATAAAAAATAGGCGTTTGATTTGATTTTTTTGGGGGAAAAAAATTGGAATGAATAGTAAGATTTTGCAAAAATCTTACCAACGAACACACTCTAAATATAAATATGTAATGTATTAATATAGAAAATAAATAAATTTTTATGAAAAAATGTAGGGTTTATTCTTCATCCAACAAGTTTTGTTACTATAATTTATGATAAATATTAATAAAAATATGTAATATATTTATTTATATAATATAAATAATATATCTACTTATTCTTTTATAAAGAGTTCATAATTTAACATAAAATATTATTTTTTTATATTATCAACACATAAAAAAACCTAAAAAATTGGACAAATCGCTCTTTTGCAATAATAAACTCCCTCTTGCTATTATTATTATTATTATTATTAATCATTTGATATAGTTTATGTTACATGCACTATCACTACAAATTTAGCTGAATCCGCAACCCGCTGCATACGAAATTCGATTTTAGTGTGCATACACTTAATTACTAGGCAATTATTTTGACTTTTTCTTGTTATTTAATTCTAATAACTTTCTCTAAATATATATATATATATATATATTTCCTAATAAAACATCACAACCAAACTACTATTAAAACAAAAAAAAAATTCACTAACTAGACACTTATTTACCATATTATTGAAACGTTTTGTATTACATTATCATATCAATTTTATTATTAATTATAACATTTTCTTTTTCAGAAATTTGCGATGTCAAAATTGCGGCATGTGCTAGATGAAACTATCGAAGAAATGATGGTTAAAAATGGATCGATCGAAACATTCAGGATTGTAGACTTAGGCTGTTCATCGGGGCCAAACACTTTTATAGCAATGTCTCTTATAATAAAAACCCTAAAAAGCCTACATAGAGACGAGAGCTATCCTCAATATGAGATTTATTTGAACGATCTTCCAAGCAATGACTACAACAATTTATTCAAAATGTTGCCCGATTTCCATCGTGGGAGGAAGGATTGCTTCGTATTCGCTCTTCCGGGATCCTTTTATGGACGATTGCTACCTAGCAATAGCCTTCAATTTGGATATTCGTGTTACTGTCTTCATTGGCTCTCACAGGTTAGTTATACACACCAATATATAAGTTTGATTTCCAAACTGAGTAGGCTAGATCGGCATGACACAAATCAGTAAAACGGACAATATATATTTGACCATAAATGATAATACAATATACAACGCATATTATAATAGCACATAATATTATTTCATATAATATATTATATTATTGATTTCAACATAATAATTATATGTACAACAATAGTACAATATATAAACTGCACAACATATGCTTTTATATGACATAAGATTATGTTATATTATATATATATATATGAATGCACTGTCTGCCTTGCTAATTTGAACTCACTTGATCAAATTAATGTTTGTTATATATATGTATATATATGTTTATTGTTCAACATTTCACTATTATTGTTTACTACTCAAAATGATAATATTATGTTATTCTTATTAGATTCCTGAAGGGCTGGGGATGAGTAACAAAGAAAACATTTGCATTGTAAGAACAAGTCCTCTAAAGGCATTCGAAGCATACGCAAAGCAATATGAAAGAGATTTCTCGACGTTTTTAAAATGCCGAGGAGAGGAAATGATGCCTAATGGGCGTATGGTTTTGGCATTTGTCGGTAGAAAAAATGTAGATCACCGTTCTGAAGAAGATGTGTCAGGAACTCTTAGATTACTTGTAGAGACACTTTCTGACATGGTGAATGAGGTTAGGGTTCCAAAAATCATAAATTACCTCTGAGTAAAAGTATTCTTTGTAAAAGTATTCTTTTTCTCGCCTAATTTAAATTAATTTTCTACTTTCATACTTAACAGGGTCTCATTAGTAAGGAAGATTTGGATTCCTTCAACATGCCAATATACTATCCAAGCCAAAATGAAGTTAAGACAATAATTGAGCAAGAAGGGTCCTTCAACATGGATAAGATGGAGGCTTTCGAGGTTCCATGGGATGCTAATGGCTACAAGAACAATGATAATGAGGCTTTTGATGCGCACAAGAGTGGAAAATCAACTGTAGAATGTGTTCGTGCTTTTATAGAGCCAATGCTTACATATCATTTCAGAAACACTTCCATGGATATCGATTACGTATTCGATAGGTATGAACAAAATGTGGTGGAACATATACATGTCTCTATGGGGACACCTTCCTATCACACCTTGTTATTGTCTTTGAAAAGAAAATTTTAGAGGAAACAATATAGTATTATAGTATCAATTTCTCTTAATTGAGTTTCAACCTATCTATGGTTAATGAATGTGGGAAATGAAAACGATAGTTCATCTCCTATTATGTAATACTCTCTCCGTCCACTTACTATATATATATATATGTTTTGTTGTCCAAATATAAATATTTACTTTTTTAATTTGTATGAACTTCATTATATATTACAAATACTCTCATATTTATTCTTATTTACATTAATATCTTTATATTAACTTTATACCTCATAAGAATAAAATAGTCTTTAAATATTAAAACTATCATCAACGATCATTAACATATCATATTTATGAGAAACTTATATATAAATAATAAATATTTTCTCAATGGATGAAGAAAGTATATTAGTATATATACCAGTATTGTCATGTTATACTCCCTCCGTCCCAATTTAATGGAACTTTTTAGGGTTTTATATTATATTAAGAAACAATAGTATTTTATTGGTTAGTGGAAATGTGTAAGAGTTTTTAACATTTTTACCTTTTTAACTTTATGTACGAAGTAATTGTATGCATAATAATATATTTCTAATTTAAATAAAAGTTAAGGGTATTTTTGTAATAGTGGATTATTATTTTTTCTAAAATATAAAAGAAATACATTGAATTGAGACCGACGAAAATAATAAAAATTCTACTTTGAATTGAGATGGAGGAAGTACTATTATATTATAATACACTAAATAATATATAATTAATTTTATATTAGTGTTTGGGAACTATCGTTTACTCTCTATCAATAATTTAATTTTTTTTCACTCCCCAAAGCAAAGAAAAATTACATATTATATATATATATACATACTCAGAAATAAATAAAATACTGCTATAGAAATACAATAAAGGAGAGAAAAAATTAAAATGATTTTATTTATTTTTTAGGATTAACTAAAAGAATTTTATCTTTAAAGTAAAAAGTATAATACAAAAAGCCTATCATAATATCTTTGTATGAGGGCCATAACAAGATCTTGATCAGGACCATAAAACTTATGTATTTTATTAATATATAGTAAACACATAATTAAATTGAATAAATAATCTTATTTACTCTAATCATTTAAAGTAAATATACTTGTATATTATTACTATCTAATAATTATTTTTTATTTTTTTGTATTAAATTGGCCCGGACCTATTTAAAATTGAATGAGCCTGGTCTGGTTCTAAGATATTAAATCCAGAAGTAGCCCACCTAATGACCCGTTTTGTAATATATTTTCTTCGATTTATGTTTTTGTTTTTCTATATTTATATGAACAAATATTGGGTCCTAAATATAGAGATATATCTCTAAACAATGGGAAGTCATACCTAAACCAAAAGCCTAACAATCATGTATATGTATATACATGTATTTATCCGTTATTTATGATCGATAAGAAGAACAAAGAAGAATAAAGAAGTAGAAAGCATGAAACTAAAAAGAGAAAACATTAGTAAAATTATTGTAAATCAACATTAGTGTGTTGTTATGATACAAATTTAGAAGATTTATATTTATATATTACACTATATATGTATAAGAAGATAATGAAAATATAATAAAAATAATTTTATCGAATCATCCCTTATATACCAAAAAAAAGGGAAAAGCAAAACTGCCATTTCGAACATTAACATATAACTATATATTGATACGATATGATAAGAAATGCCCAATATAACCATACATGCATTCAAGTTTACCAAGATATTTCGAAAAATTGCATAGCTTAATCACCATATCTATGCTTTTCTTTCAAACGGCCTCACTAATTAGGAAGATTTGCATTCATTCAATGTGCCGGCGTATGCTCCAAACCGAGAGGAAGTCAAGAAAATCATTGAGCAAGAAGGGTCCTTCAAAATTGACAAAAAAGAGGATTTTGAAGTTCCATGGGATGCCAATGGGCACAAGCATGACAATACTAAGATTGTCAAATAGCTACATGAGTGGAAAACTAATAGCAAAAGGAATGTGTGCTTTGATTGAGCCAATGCTAGTTGATCACTTTAGAAACAGCACCATTATTATCGATGACCTATTCAACAAATACACACAAAAGTTGGCTAACCGTATAAGTTTCGTTGGAGAGACACCATCGAACGATAACTTGCTATTATCTTTGCATCGAAAATAATACACATAATTGATTCACTTGTATTATCTTTAACTGTTTGTATGTTTGTTTGTGTTTTGAAACAAAGTAGATGTCCTTTTAGAGGATTTTACCAAATTTATACTACTTTCATATAGTTCTCAGGGTCATATTACTATTTATGTGTTTCATCTTTAAATATTATTTATTATATCAAAATATTGTACAAATTAAAGAAAAATTACGAAAATATTTTAATTAGTGTCTTCTAATACTAATATAATGACATTTGTACAAAAAATTATAGAAATATAAAAAAAAAATTCCAATGTTAAGTACAATGATCCCAAAACGTATATGTAATCGTTAGAGGCTGATAGAGGAAGTATTATTTACTAAATTTTTTTCCACCCAAAATATTAAATCAAACATCTTATATTTTTTAAAATATTACACTAAAAATTAGTTTTATATTCAAAATAAATACATGTTTATATCACATTATACAATTATTCTAATTTTAAATTAATTTATAATATTCAAATATCAAACCCAAAATCTAAACACGCTAAAGAGTAAAACTCAGCAAAATTTTTGCGGCTTAATTTAAGGTTAATTAAAGAAATTAATTTTCAATTGAGTGTAGCAATTAATTCCATATTAAGAGTTAGATTGATGTTCTCTTCGTGGCTTAATTTGGCACCATTCTTTTTTTCTTTTTCCTTTTTTTAATTTTTTATTGTATAATTTTCACAATTTTATATAAAAATATACATCCTCCGTCCACGGGTAAATTTCTTTATTTGTCATTTTAGTCTGTCCAAATCAAAACTTCTCATTTTGGTTAAGGAAAAAAAAAGTAACTCTCAACTAAATAAGAAATTATCAATTTTGTAATGAGATTTTTTCGTTCTTAAATTCAGTTTTTATGTTACTAATGATATTAGAGATGGAACTACGTTAGCTACGTAAACTTTAGGAACGAGATTCCGTTACAAATATACTATTTTTTTTTTAGTGATAATCTGACTTTTTACTTTTTCACATTACTTTTCAAAAATAAAATGGACATTATATTACTTTATTATACTACATATTTATAAAATACTAATTTACCGTATGTAAAATTCAAATAGAAAAACTAGTAGTGGACGAAGAGAGTATTTTTTTTAATATTTTATTCAATCACTATTTAAGCCAAAAATTAAAATCAAAATACAATTAATAATAAAAATAAAAATAAAACTAATAATTTAAATCTTAACCAATTCCAACTCTTAAGATAATGTGAGACCAACATTACTGTTGGATTTGGCTCGAAAAGAATTTGAGGAATGAACTTGTATAAAGATTTTGTAAGCTTTATTAGCTAGCTAGGTCTTGGAGAACTGCCCCATGGTCTAACAAATTTATTTGAAAGAATATGAAGTAATTATCGATAAATCGAAGTGAGATATACCAAGAGATGGAGGGCCAATTAATGAATTACGGAATTTTATTTGACCGAAGGGCGTTAGATATATATTTGAAAGATACATGTTTACACTATCATTATTTGAAATATTTTTTTAGGATCTTACACTTATTTAAATAGTTTTTATCTTAATATAAATATGTACGATTCTTTATGAGTGACAATAAAAATTTAGTTTACAAAATAGTATAATTTAATATCATATCATTGATTAAGGCCATGTTTTTCGACCCAACATTGCCGTGTTTTGATCATGTCAAATGCTACATCAAATTTCATAACTACTACATCAAAAAACTTCATTAAAATTGTAACGGGGGAGTCTTTTCCGAAAAGACTTTGTTATACTAGAACTAATTTTGAGTATGATTTTAAAATAGAACCAATTATAAGTAAGATTAGGTCTAGCCAAATTCGACGAATTGAACGTTTTCTTTTTTAATCAAGCCCATACTCGCCAAGATTTAGCCAAACTTAAAATTTTAAAACCCTAAACTCGTCTTGATGTAATATTTTGAATTCAAATACGTCTCATTACCATCCTAACTTAATTTGACCAAATTAACTTTCGCCGCTAGGCTCGACGGCCTAAACACCAAGGTTTAAAGTTTTGAACTCAACTTATTGCACCTAATAATTCTAGATTACACAAATTAATGATTGTTAATACCTGTGGACTTATATCCTCCAAATATATATAATTAGATCTTGTCAAGATTCTAAAATTAATAATGTTTAATGCATATACGTGGACGATAATTCCTCCAACGAGAGAGAGATCCACGTGGGTAAATTAATTAAACAAATTTTAAATACAAGTAAATTGCACGTGCGCAAAAACAGTGTCTCGATGATTTTATTAATTATAAGAATGTGTGTGCAGTTCATCTCAGTTCAGTAGAGATAGAAAATAAAAGCTCCATTAAACCCTAACAATGGAGAAAAGCTTTGTCCTTCGAGTGAATGGTGGAGATGATGCATTCAGCTATGCCAACAATTCTGCCCTTCAGGTATGCATAAAAAATACTCTCTCCGTCGTTCAAATCTATGCTCACTTTTTTTTGTTTTGATTGTCATAAAAAAGTATTCTCGTTCTCTTTTAAAGTTAAAAATCATTACAATTTTGTATTTTTTACTATAAAAATAAAAAGTAATAATTATTACTTACTTTTATTAAAATTCGTATCCGATCAAATGAGTATACATTTGTATGACGGAGGGAGTATCAATTTTTGATCTTGTGAATTTTAGGTGTATATATATATATATGTATGTATATGTATTGGTTTGTAATAGCTCACATGTGAGATATATTTTCAATCTTTTGACTTTTGAAAATTTTGAGAACAATAATATTTGATTAGATATTTTGTTAAAAGGAATATGTTTTTAACATGATGGTTTTTGAAAAGTTTGGGTTTGTAAAATATTGTCAAAACTTCTAAATATATATAAGAAATGAAATCTATATTACATGGAGTTTATGAGATCAATTATAATCTGAATGTTTAATTAATTGTGAAATTTAAATACTTAAATTACCATGAACAAAAAATTCATAATTGGAATATTGGTTATGTGTCATTCTTCGAAAGAAAAAGATATATATTTACTCCTTTTGTCGTCAAATTGTATGGTCAAATGTTCAGGCACGAGATTTAATAAAAATAAATAATAATTGTTATTTTTGTATTTTATAATAAAAAATTACAAAAAAGAAAAGAATACCAAAAAGGAGAATAAATATAGATTTGAATGACGAAAAATAGATATATATATATATACATATATCTGTATATTTTATTTATTTGTCAAGATCAGGCTGATTGTTAGCATAAAGCCTGCAAAAATCTCAAAATTATTCATTTATCGTATCATTTTCTTCACAGAAATTTGTGATGTCAAAAATGTTGCATGTGTTAGAGGAAGCAATCGAAGAAATGTTCGTTACAAAAGGATTCAAGAAATCTTTCAAGTTTGTCGACCTGGGCTGTGCATCGGGGCCAAACACTTTGATAGCAACATTTTATGTAATGGAAACCATTAAAAACATATGTAGAGACGGGAGCTTGCCTCAGTGCGAGGTTTATTTGAACGATCTTCCAAACAACGATTACAACAATTTATTCCGAATGTTGCCTAATTTTCATCAGAGGATGGAAAATTGCTTCATATTCGGCCTTCCGGGATCATTTTATGGAAGATTGCTGCCTAACAATAGCCTTCATTTTGCTTACTCATGTTATAGTCTTCATTGGCTCTCACAGGTTATGTGTGTGTTAATTCAATAAATGATTATAAATTCATTAGCAAATGATAGTTTTACTAACCACCTAAGTTTAATTCTAAAAATATTGCTTCATATATAGTACTATTAATTTTTTTTACTACCTCTAAAAGTATAACATATGTTGTCATTAACAGATTCCTGAAAGGGTGGGAAGGAGAAACAAAGAAAATATTTGTGTTGCAAGAACAAGCCCTAGAGAGGTAATCGAAGCTTATGCGAAGCAATACCATAGGGATTTCATGAAGTTTTTGAAATGTCGAGGAGAGGAAATGATTTCCGGTGGCAAAATGGTTTTGGCATTTATCGGAAGAAAAACTACAGATCAATCTTCCAAAGAAGACACATTGGGACCTCTCGGATTGCTTGGAGAGACACTTTCGAACATGGTAGATGAGGTTAGAGTTTCGGAGAACCTAATATAATTACTTGCTAGTAAAAGTCTATTCATTTTCATCAAATTAAATATAGTTATCTCAATGCATATTCAAAGGGCCTCGTTAATAAGGAATATTTGTATTCATTCAATGTGCCGGCGTATGCTCCAAGCCGAAAGGAAGTCAACAAAATCATTGAGCAAGAAGGGTCCTTCAAAATTGACAAAATTGAGGATTTCGAACTTCCATGGGATGCCAATGGGTACGAGCATGACAATACTAAGATTGTCGATAGATACATAAGTGGAAAACTAATAGCAGAAGGAATGCGCGCTTTCATTGAGCCAATGCTAGTTTATCACTTTAGAAACAGCACCATTAATATCGATGACCTATTCAACAGATACGCACAAAAGGTGGCTAACCATATACGTTTCGTAGGAGGGACACCATCGTACGATAACTTGCTATTGTCTTTGCATCGAAAATAATACATATAATGGGTTCATTTACTAAATTGTATTTCCTCTGTTTGCTGGTAAATTTTTCATTTGACTTTTGTACGCGGATTAAGGTAAATTAGTATTTTATAGATATGTAATGTAATAAAGTAATGTTATGTTCATTTTACCTTCGAAAGTAATGTGAAAAATAAAAAGCACGGAGTATTTTGGTATTTAATTGATAATTACTTTTTTTTTAAATAAAAAAATATAAGAAGTTTTGATTTATACAGATTAAAATGAAAAGCATAAAGTTTAATAGTGGACGGAGTGAGTATTAGTTTGCATTGTTTGTTTGTTTATGTGTGTTTTTGAAATAGATATTAGCGTTGGAATTATTTTTTACTTCCTACTCGAGTTGGGCCAGTCGGATGAATATTGAGTGGGATTCACCATATAGCCTAAGTAAGCATTTGGATGAGGTCTCATGTATGGAATTTTGAATTGTATGAAAATTTAAAATTAATAAATAAATAAATAGTAGGATGTGAATCACATATAAGAGCTTGAAAGATAAATATAGAGCTTGCAAAATAAATATTTAGGGTGTGTTTGTTTTTTATTTTTTATATTATGCTAAAAATTAAATTTACATTCAAAACATCACATCAATACTTATTTATATCATAATACCACTATTCCAATTTAAACTTTTTACTATTTAAATCTCAATCCAAAATCCAAACCTTCAAACAAACACACCCTGAAAGTACTTAAGGAAAGAATTGAAGAAGAAGAAAATGCAACAAAAATGTGAAAACAAATAATATGTTATACATGTATTTAAGATGTGGATGCAAATTATATCTACACATATTATCAATGTCGATGTGATGTAGCATCATTTCTTACCATGTATGTATTCATATCTTCACCTATATATACGGGTTTTAAATGGAATAAAATTTACCCCATCAATCACTAAATCTCTCTCTCAAATTCTCTCCGGCATATGCATTGAATATTTAATACATAACATACATACCTACACATATAATAATTCGTTACACTTCATCCGTCACATACACACACAACATATATACATATTATACTATATTATATACAATATATAAAATAGTGGTTAGTGATAGAAGTAACTAATATTTTTATTGGCTATCTTTATAATAATATTACAACACAATAGACAAATTCTAATATGGAGACCTTCGCTTGCACGATGCCCCTCCTTTTTATTTTCGCCAAATTTCTCCCTAAAACTTCATTTAACAATTCCATTTATATATGATCTTATCCTTAGATTAAGTTGTTACGATTTGAATTTATTTTTATTATATGGTGTCAATATATAAACCTTGATTATTATTATGAATAAAAATGTTACTTTTTTAGTAATCTACAATTTATTTCTTACACATACAATTCTTATGCACTTTGAAAAGTATAATATTTTTGTCTTCTTTCATCAAGAAATATATATTTCCACCAAATGAAAAGCCACAAGAAAGTTCTTTACAAAAATAATTATGAGAGGTCCAAAACATAGGTTGCAACAACCTGGACAGAGCTATAGGTGGAGTCTTTAGTTGGGGCTTGCATCTTCTTGATGATCCTTCGATGTCAGCGGTAGAAAATCGATCAAATCTATTTATTTTTTCTTGAAGCTTTTAGATCCGGCTCATTTTATGATGAGTATAATCTCAGACAATCCTACCGCTTCTCGATTATCCAAAGAATCTCACTTTTCAATTGCGTAAGTGATGGTTTGGTAATGTGAGGATGGAATCGTAATCGTAAGGTTATGGATTCAAACCTCAAAGTCTCCAAGTCTTGTCTATCATACATGACTTGCCTAGTATGACTTGTCTTATCAGGCCTAATTTGCAAACTATTAGATTCGACTGAAAATTTACCCAAAACGTTCTCATCGAACGGATCCCATGTTATCAAAAATAAATAAATAAATAAAATTGAATAACTAAGAGCTTACACGCTAGCTTACTTCTCGATGGCCTCACGGACTGACTCGAAGGACTTTTCTTTTGTTCTCGAAAAAATGGTTGACACGGGAGAGGATCAAATGTTGATATTATAATTTCAGTATAGAATGGGTAAAAATTATTATCATAATTTATATCATTAAATAATATGATTAATATAATTATATAAACTTAAGATATAACTATTCTTGAAATATTTGAGATATTCAGGTTTAGATTTAGTAGATTTATATTTAGATTTGATCTTATTCATAAATTAGTTGCCTATATATAGGCTTTGATGTTCTATAAGATAATTTTATTATTTTTCCCCAAAATTTTTAACACAGTATCAGAGTTTATTTTTCCCCTGCCGTAGATAGAGTCTATCAACCCGTGTTTCTCCGGATATATTATTCAACATGGGATGTACCTGGAGGTTTCCCAATTTTAAAATTTTTTCTATAGTTTCTAGTTTTTTTTTTTTTTTTTTTTTGTTTACGATTGAAGTCATCTTTGCGATTGCGATTCTGCGATCCGTCTGTTGCGTTTCTCCAGAGTCATGTTTATGATTGCAATGAGAGTCCCGTTATTTCCGATTTAGATATTCAGTTTTAGATTTAGCATGATATATATTTAGATTTGATCTTATCCATAGAATATTACTTAAATTTGAGTCTATCTTGTTTTGTACTGTCTATCAAATAATTTTACTCCCTCCGTCCCACGTACCATGTCCACGTTGCCGTTTCTGTCTGTCCCACGTACCGTGTCACTTTCCTTTTTTGGAAGATGATTACACACTTTAATCTCATTTTAAACTTTTAAATTTTTTTTTAAAATTTTAATTAAACTAATTAGTTATTTTAATCTAAATTTATAATTATTTATATTATAGGATAATATTTTCACTAATACATTCTTAATTATCTACTAATTACACCCCTCCTAAAATACCGTTTCTACAATGTAGCAGACAAGGTATGTGGGACGAAAGAGTTACTTTTTTTCTCTCATCACACTTCTCCCTCAAACATTGTTAGCCACACCCACTGCCGTCATCTGCTGCCCACGTCTTCGTGCGCCGTTGCTGCCGGAGACTGCCGTGTTCAACCGATTTGGCGCTGCCCTTGGGCACGAGAGGGAGAGGGAGAGGGAGAGAAATAATCCATCTACTATATATATATATATATATTTTATACATATAGAACTAGAGAAAAGAACAAACCTTCAAATCGAATAGCCAGCTCACACTTTTATTTGATCTTTTTCTTGAAAAGTCTTGCGGTTAAATAAATGTTTGGACACATGTGTATTTGAAGGCTTTTTCTACATAGAGCCATTGTGTCCGCTTTAAATAGTAGATCCGATACGGCTAGCTTAAGTAAGCTTCCGAGCAAGGTCTTGTGTGTGAAATTTCGCATTGGATGATGATTAACTACAAAGTAGAAGATGAATCACAAATTAAAGCTTAAAAAGTTAAAAAAGGGGACTTGCAAATAATAAAATTTTGGATTGGAATATAAATAGTAAATTAATTTGAATATAAATAATTGTATGTTGTGATATAAATAGATATTGATGTAATGTTTTGAATATTAAATTGATTTTTAATACTCTCTTCGTCTCATTCAAAAATACTCTTTTGAAATTTTACCGTAAATTAAAAAATAATAGTATTTTATTGGTTAGTGGAATGGTAAGAAAATTTTATATTTTTTTCTTTGACTTTTTGAAATAGCAATTGTACGTGTGTAATGATATATATTTATTAAAAATTAAAGGTATTTTGGTATTAATGTATAGTTATTTTTATTAAAATAGAAATTTGATAGTAGTATTTTTTAATTGCACAAGATGAAAACGGTAAAAATAATACTTTAAGTTGGAAGGAATGAAATAATATAAAAAATAAAAAATAAAGTAAAGATTTGACAAATTTTGATAGAGAATACGAGTGTGTTTGTTTTGTAAAATTATTGAAAAAAAATTATGTAAAATACAAAAAATTATATAGAGAATATAAAAATAATATGAACAGTGTATTATTTTTTTGGAAAAAATGTATAACTTAAAAAAAGAAAATAGAAAGAAGGCATCCTACAGTCAAAATAAAAAATACAATAAAATAAAAGGTAAAAACAAAGGGTAGCCAAATAAAAAAAAAAAGGTAAAAACAAAGTGTAGCCAAATTTTGGAATAGCGGGATCCTTTGATAGTGCATATTCCCTTTTGTTTTTTCATTTTTCTTCAATTTCTTCGTAAATACTTAGTTTTAGTATTTTTGTTCATAAAAATTGTTTTCATTTAATTAGAAATAAAAATTAAATAATAATAATATTTTAAGTAAAAATAAAATAGATAAAAATGAAAATTGATTTATTATAAAAATGTATTAAAAAAAATTACTGAAAATACGATGAGATAAGTAGAATAATCTTTGTTACTAATAGTGATAGTAACATATATCGTGATATATCATAATTTCATATTTTATTATACAATATATTACAATTCTTTTATATATTACAATATCCATTAAATTCCATACAATATTTTCTATGTTCTTTTAATACTATTTTTTTATTACGATTTTCAAAAACTAATTATAATAAATATATTATATTTTATACAAAACTAAAAATTTTTAAAAAAAATTAAATACTTATTAAAAAAAGTTAAATATTTAATTTAAAATAATATATTATTTTTCATACAATTTTTTAAAAATTATTTCATTTAATTCGGCAAGAGATGGGTGATAGAATGAGAATAGACTTTTGACCCTCACGCAGCCGGTTTACACATAATTCGTCAAATGTGACTTGTTTTGTAAAACCTAATTTGCAGGTTGTTATGTTAAATTTGAAATTTATCCAAACCAGCCGCGAATTCCCATGTTATAAAAAAAAATAAAAAATAAAAATTGATGTCTTTGAAGTTTTTATGATTTTTAATAAAAATATATTATTACTTCTTTTATTTCAATTCAATATATTATTTTATCATTTATTTTGTTCTATTAAAAAATTACTTATTTTTATTATAGTAAAAATAATCATTATAGAAATATTAAAATATTCATAATTCTTATAAAAATATTCTTTTCCTTTATAGTATCAAAATTATTTTAAATATTTTTATTGACCAATAAAAGATATTTATTTATTTATTTACTATAAAATATTATAATAAAAATATTATTTAAATAAAATTAAAATTAAAATGTGAATTATTTCTAAAATTTTTCAAATCAAAATTAATATTATTTATATTATGATTTCAACAAAAATATTAATCTACTTGTGTTCCGCCTGGAATAGCTAGGGTAGCGCCTAGTATAAGTGGTGGACTCGTAACAATGACTTTCTTTTAAATTTAAAATTAATTTAAAATTATAATACAAACTAACTATTTTAAAATAACAATTAAAATTTAAAATTGTAATTATAAAATAATTTCAAGCCAAATCAAAATAAATCCAAAATTTTCAACAAATAAAATAAAAAAATAAAACCCTCAAACCATTACATAAATAAATAAATAAATAACTCCAACGACCAAGCCTCTGACTTTTCTGATGCCAACGTCGTAAGAAAAACTCGGACGCTCCCGTTTTTCTCCCCCTTGTGTCTGTAGAGACCCATGAATAATTTCTTGTCTTTGATTTCAATGGCGGGCCTGGTTTATTGAGGTTTTCAGACGCACTTCACAGTGAAAGGAATCAAACCAGGTGACTCAAACTCGAACCAGTCGCTTCTTTTGTATTTCCCCCCTTTAATTCAACTCAATTCGTTATTCCCAAGTATGTGTGTATATATTTATATTTCTTTTGAATAATGTTTTTGCTGCTTATGAGCTCTCGATTGCATGATTTGTTGTGATTGATTGATTGGGATTTCGTAGGCTATTGAATTGTCTGATAATCGGTTTTTCGTATTTCGGGGTTTTCGCAGCCCTCCCTCCCCACTTTGGATTTCGTGTTTCACTTCAATTATTCACTTATTACTATTATTAGTGTTTTGTTTTTTGTTTTGTTAAGGTCGTATTTTTTGCTCTTGCTTAATTTGAGCGGATTTTGATTTCTTGTTCATTTTCTATTTGAAGGTTTTGGGGCCCTTTGGTTGTTGCTGTTTTTTAGCTGTTCTAGTAGCTCTATATTGCTATTCGTAATGTGCGTTTCACTTGTTTGGTTTTTTCTTTTTTTATCACTATACGTTCTAAATTTTTGAAAATTCGGGTTTGTCTGGAACACTTTTGGATCGAACACTGTTGGGTGATGTATTTATGTATTTCAGTAGCTTTTGGATTGAGTTGCTTTAATCTTATATATTTGTTCATATGCTTTGTTTAACTTTGTGTTTTTTTTTTCTCTCGATGTAATTTGTAGCAGATGGTTTGTAATTTTGTAGTTGAGGTAGGGAAAACGTATCCGTAAGGGTTTTTCTGCCCTCAAGTATTGTTTGTATCTGTATGGGCTCTCAACACTTAAAAATGTTATCTATTATGAACAATTTGCTTTAGGAGTGATTGTGATTTATTTTGGAGTGCAATGAGCTAAAATTTGGCATGTTTCGACATTCTGTTCTACTATGCGAATTGAACACTTCTCGTTGTCTATATATGGAAATTGGAGAATTTGTGTCAGTATGAACACATATATGGAAATAACATTGTTCGTCATTTATAGGTGTTTAGTTGAGCTCATGGCTAGTTGTTCGTGAGGGGCAGTAAGGACCAGGAGTGGTGCTCAAATGGATATGAATTATTAATTTTGTTCTAAAATATGCTGAATTGGGTGAATCGAACTTGATTCTTTTTGGGCTCAAGACTCGAAGGGCTATGTCTTCTGGTGAAAAATCTTCCAACGGCTACATGGATGTCAAGACTCTAGGAAAAGGCTCGGACTTTGCAGCCAGGTAAATTAGTACCAAGTTCAAGGAAGTTAGAATGTAAATGTTTAGCTCTTCATTTTCTTCAGGTTAATATTTGTCTTCCCACAGGCAAAAATTGGAAGCAACTCCGGCAACGAAAAGTGTGAAGGATAATAAAGATAACATGATTCGGTCAGAAGACCAAGAAACCATGGTATCTGTATTGGTATTTGTTTAGAAGATAGGAATTCATATCATTTCAAAGATCTGTATGAAGATGAAATGCTTTTTAGGAGCTTTATGCACGTGCAAGAGATCAGGAGAAGGAACTTCAGTATCTTAGGGAACAGATTGCCCTTGCAAGTATTAGAGTAAGACCTTTTCTTTTAGTTTGAATCGATCAGAATATAATCATCTACTGTTATTATATATATGTATATATGTTGTTCAAAAGTTATATTTGCATATATCAACTATGACTGTAGGAATCAGAATTATTGAACGAGAAATATGCACTTGAGAGGAAATTCTCCGAGCTACGGATGGTACTTGCAATTGCACCTGCCACTTTAGCTAATGCTTCTTTTTCTTTTTTTATGTTTCTTCTTTTCTCATTGTGGCATGAAATAACTTTTTTCTGGCCGTAGGCGTTGGATGAAAAGCAAAGTGAAGTTGTTACATCTGCATCCAATGAACTGGCACGAAGGAAAGGGGATCTTGAAGTAAACTTAAACTTGCTTAATGAACTAAAGGTAAGCACTTGGTTCAGGTGTTGCTCTTTTCCGTCTCTTTCTGGTTATTTCATACAAAAACATGCTTACCTTTTGAGTACCTGTGTTAGGGCTAATACTTTTTTAATAGTATAGCCTTATCTCTATACATAACTTCATTATGATGTATGTGCAAATATCAGCTGTATCGTTTTTTGCTTTTGTGCTATCATGTTTCTAAGATTTGTTCTTATTTGATGAAACGGAGTTTTGAGCTGGCAGAGAAACTGCACCTTCGGGAACTAGTTGCTGAGTTTCACTTTGAATGTATCCGAATTCCTTAGTAGCTTACCCAAACTAAGATCTATTCTTATTGTTCTTTGCTTAAATGTCATTGGACTCCTTTATACCCATTCCTATAATTTTGTTTTATTCAGTTGGCAACTTTATGGAAAAATGAAATATTTACATTATTATTTCTCTATTCACGGTGAATATTAATTTATTCTCTGGTTCTGTCTCTCTCTTTTTTTAATTCATCATATATTTCCTATCCTATAGTGTTTTTTTCTTTTATTTTTCTTCAAATGAGAATTCACATGGATTCCAGGCTGTAGACGACGAGAAACATATCTTCACTACATCTTTGATTGGGATATTGGCTGAATATGGAACTTTGCCTCATGCTACGAATTCCTCTGCTTTAGCCAACAGCATCAAGGTGTGGGATTTATACTATTAATTATGATGAAGTTGTGTCAAGTCTATTTCATAGATCTGTTGCAATGTATTCCATCCACATGCTTGACCATTTAGCTGTCTTTTGGACTCGAGAGCCATATGCATTATTTGTTGTTGTTGCATTATTATTATATTATTGCGCCTTCTTATTTATTTCCTCAAGCTTATTTCACCCTCATTCGTTTAAACTAAACATAAATATCAAGAACCCAAATAAATAATACCTACATCAATTATAATTTAGATTAAATGCTACTAATTTTAATTCAAAAAATGCATTCTAAATTTATATTTATACTTATGACATGTCTTCTCAAGCTGAGCATATCTGAATCTAACAAGATTGCTAAGTTGGACAGTTGGTGTTGAGTTACTAAAACATTAGAATGTCGAATAGGCAGCCAAAAACAGCAGAATGAGACTTTAGCAAGATTCCATGGAAATAGGTAGATGGCAATTAATTTATCTTTTCGTTTTTTTTCTGTTTTAGATGTAACATAGGCAGCAAAATAATTAGAAGTCAAATCTTATGGTCAATGTAGAAACATCACATAATGTACAGGTTTGAGATGTTTGAGCTTGGACACCACGTTGGAAATTAAGGATTGTGTGTTTTGATTGATTAAATAATCACTTTGTTGTAATTTGAGAGTACTTTATGGTTATTTGATAGACTTGTATGTTAGTGGCCTTAACTCAATATAATCCCACAAAAGGTTAACACTTCAAGGCTTGTAGTTGAAACCCACTTTATATCTTAGTCCACAATTTATTACATTTTCAATGTGGAGCATTTGTCCACACTCATTTATTAATTTCAGCATGCATTATTATTAAGTTTTGACACACTTTATTTATTATGAGGCAGCTGAGGCTAATCTAGACTAGCACTTTATGAGGACTAATTTAGGCAACAACTAAGAGTAGATATCCTAATCTAGGTAAATAATATTTATAAAAATGACTTTTTAATCGTATTAGAAATCACTTTAGGATAGACATCTAGCTAGTTTCAAGCAGGCATTTAAATAATTGTGTATGATAATTTTTCGTGATGTTATTTTTTCTAGATTCCTAATAGGAAGGGTGGGATTTAGATTTTATATTTGGAATATCAGCCATTTTTGTTCATGGAATCTGAATTTTAATATCCTTCAGCAAAAGCGTCATTAACTCATTAATCATTATGTTCAATTAGCTGTGGTCTTTAACTCATTGAAAATATACAGTTGTCCCATAATATATTATTTTCTGCTTTCATTAGCTTTTACTCCCCTAAATTAGCTCATAGCTCTCTTTCCCTCTCTCTCGCTCTCTACAGACCCTGCACCCTCCCCCCTCCCTCTCTTCTCTCCTCTTTACCTTTCTGTTTATTTTAAGCTGTGCACCTTGTTTAGTTGGTGAAAATTTTCTTCATGAAACCTATGCTTGGATGTCTTGTGATAATGGTTTATGCTCTTGTATTTTTTGCAGCACTTACATGATCAACTGCAGCTGAAGATAAGAGCTTCTAATGTAAGCTTCTAGCGCACACACATACATATCTATATTATTCATGAACTGGTGGTTTCTTTTGCTGCTCTTCAATGTAAAATAAAGCCAAATGGTATTGTAATTATCTACTACATACTATGGTGATTAAATGAACAGTGCCCGCCCTTCTTTCTTTTCTTTTTTTCTTTTTTTTTATTTTTTATTTTTACCTGGATTCTGCTCTTCAAGTTATGTTTGAATCTTTACATGTTTCGAGCTTCCCCGGCATCATTGTTTGAGTGTTAGATCAAGAATTGACTCATCTAAAATCATTGCTTATTTGTTTTTAAACTTTTTATTGATGCTATATCCCATTTTCGGGCTGGTTGAAGTTGTAGTTTGGTATTATACCATGCTTGGGTGTATGCATGTGGCAAGAGATATTGACATCAATTTGGATTATTTGGCTTCTGCAACAAGTAATGAACACTGAGAAAAGTGATATAGAAAGCTTTGAGGTGTTTCAGAGTTGAAATGTTTTGAACAGGAAATAGTTATTGATAATTATGCTTTGTTTTTATATGTTTTGGAAAAGATATAGATAGTATGTGTTATAAAATGTGTACTAAATGATTGATTTGATGGTGGTTTTGGGTGCGTTCAGGAAAATGAGGGGGAAAACATTTACTGTAGAATGCAGTGGATTGAAATGGAAACAACCTGGATTTCCTAGAGGGATCTACTGTCATTCTAGTCCCATAGAATATGTTGAAAGAAGTGTGTGTATATTTTTAGCTTTAAGTCTATATAAATGGAAAATAGTACCGAATACATCAAAATTAGAGAATAACTCAGGTTTACAAACAGAAGCAGGAAGGTGAAAAATGAAAGGCTTAAACCAGGCAGAGTCAGCGGTTTCATGCTAGAGAATCTCTGGCATCAGTGTTTTGCTATTACGAAACACTGATCTTTGATGTTCTGTTTTTCTGGGCTTGATTCACTTCAATGAAACTTGAACCACACTGAACTGACTTAGATGGTTTATTCCTGAATGTTCAATCTTAGTGATTTTGTATTCCTAGAAATCAATCAATATTGTTATCTGTCTCTGGTGAGAGAATTGGAAGGGTGGAAACATTCAGGACAATATGGGTCTCAACTACATAAAAGGAAATTTCCATTTAGTAACTGATGGCATTGTGATTATTGCTAGTTCAATTTTCTTTGCCTCTACCTGATTGAATATATAACAATCATCTTATCATTGTATGCTCTTTTTATAGTCAAGCTCAATTAGCTTGTTGCTATAGATCAGTAACTTCTCTAGCTTGCCCGGCCTTACTGTTGTGTTTTTGATAAATCTAACAAGGAGTAAATTGGATGCAGGCCCGACTTGCAGAAGTGAATGCCATGATCAGTAATAATCCCAGAAATGGCTTTGTTGATAAAGGAATTGCAAATATAAGTCCCATGACCGACCAATTTCAAAATAATTCTATGGTAATTCCTATAACCTTATTGTCTCAAGTTTGCACCTTTATTCAAGCTTGTGATACTATATTTACATACTAATAAGATGGCTATTCATTTTGGTGGCAACGATGTGTTGTAGAAAAGTTAACTTCAGCTGATCATCACCTCATCAATCACTATGCAGTGTGTTCTATATCTTAAAAATGAGAACTTACTGTATGAGCTTTGTTTGGCAGGGGGTACATGGGTTTTCTTACTATAGTCACTATGCTGATGGAAAAGGTTCGGAATCAGCTGATGATGCTTCCCGATATGTGCAAGACAATGATTCGAAACATGCCAAAGGCTTGACGCGGGACGCTGAGATACGGCAGTTTCCAAATCATGAAAGTATTCTAGGAACATTACCTGACATTGATAGGTTGGCCTGAATATTTTAGAGCTCTTGGATTTAGTGCTACATTTATTGAAGTCTCGTTTATTGGGCATTTTAAACGCTGGAGCTTTGTAAACCTTCGTCTTGAAAGTGGAAGTACTTAAGTTACTTCTGGGCCCAGATCCAAAATTGAAAGCTAAAGAAACTTTTTATTGCTTCACTCTTAGTGTTACATTTTTGTAGAACATACATATGGTGTTCTTGACACTAAAATAAATAGACGATTCATGGAAGGCATTGGAGCTAGTAACAAGCTCTAAGGATTTATATTTTAATTTTGTTTTGGAAAGATACACTAAATTAAATTGTTTAGCAGCAAAGCACCATGTGTCCTAGTATGAATGGCAATCTTTGGGTTCACTTTATGGTTAATTCTATGTTAATTTGTTGAATTTTTCTAGTTGAAGGCGCTTTCATAGTATGGCAATTATTGTTCCTCGTAAGGAAAATTAGCAGTTACGCAAGATTAGTTTTAAATGAATATACAAGGATAGATATACCGGGGGGGTGTGTGTGTGAATCATCACAGTGGTTAAAGCTAGAGTAGCGAGTGCTTATTTCTTTCATGTCAACATTATGTAAGCTGGAAGGATTTGATGTTTTCGAAAGTTTCTAGTATCAGTGTGCAGTTATTTTCAGTTAACCAGATTAGTGTGCAGCATTCTACTCTTGTGTTCGAATCATTTTTTGAATATGTCATCTTTTCCTTGTTAGCCCATTGCATTCTTTACTCTCTGATTGATGCTTTTCGTTTAGGTTATATTGCTAGTGTGATGGAAGATTCTCAATGTGATTACTGTAACTGCTTATATTAGCATTATAATGTTTTCTTTACTCTGGCAAAACTTTTTGCTATTTTTCTTGGGGCTTAGAGTTCCTATACTTAAGATCCTGGGGTTTGTTTTTAGAACTTGCACTTACTGTTTGAATTAATCAATTTCATTTGCTTTCTGCTACACGTTTCATTTCTCTTTGTATTTTCTGCTTACATGCACAATCTGTTTATCCAGCCGTATTTGATATGAAATTCATGCATTATCTTTCTGTTATTTCTTGATGACTGTGCCAACATTTAAAGCTTTTTACCTTGTATAGAGAATAACGTAATCAATTATTCAATGGCCCTGAAATAATTTTTTGTCCTTATTCGATGGTATTCCAGCTTAAAATGTTACTTTTTGCCCAATTTCTGCAATCTCGTCAAATCTCATCCCGAGCATTCATTCATGCTGACAGCTTAAAATTACAGAAACGTTGCAGGTCACATTGGGAACAACATGCTTGATAGAAGTGGATTTATGTCTGCATCTGAGCAAAGAACTAATCAATTTCCCCATGCTCCAGTGATGCAAGATGCCGCAGATTCGTTTGTTTCAGAAGGTAAGAAATGTAACATGTCGTATCTCAGCTTCATACCTTCCTCTTGTCCAACATATGACCAAAAGTTCCACCTCAGATGATGGCCCTGGAATTGAAAACTTCCAGATCATAGGGGATGCTAAACCAGGCTGTAAACTCTTGGGCTGTGGATTTCCTATGCGCGGAACTTCTCTATGCATGTTTCAGGTATTGGCTAGAATAATTGTGTTGAATAATTAACGTGTTTGAGGATCTCAGGAACTGATGAACTTTTCTTTTTCTTTGTCATTCAATTCTGCATACAAGTGGGTTCGCCATTATCCAGATGGTACACGGCAGTATATTGAAGGTATTTTAAATTTGAGCCTTGGACCTTACCACTGCTTTATTTTTGTTTACCTCTTTATTTGCTCACGCAAACTACATCACATAACACTTTTCATATAATATGCAGTATATGTGTGTGTGTGTGTATATATATATATATATTCTGTGTATTCATTAAATTTGAATATCTATCCATTGCAGGAGCTACGAATCCAGATTATTTGGTGACGGCTGATGATGTGGATAAACTTGTCGCTGTTGAGTGTATACCAATGGACGAGCAAGGGCGACAGGTAATGTAGCCGTACTACCTTTATTGCTTCTTATTGCTGACCTTGATATAAGAGATGTCAATTTTCACTATCTTTGGCTTTCAATAAGTGTGCAAGTACTTTTGTTTGTTATTTATAGTTAAAAATAGAATTAGAAGTGAAGATCGTAGCAACCCATAGTATGAATGTTTGTGAATAGAATCATAGTAAAACAAAATGCCAGAAGAACAAGTGAAATAATTAGTGGTCTGGAGTAGATCCCTAACATGCTAATAAAAACATCTTGTATGTTTTAATTGATCATTTCATATAATATATATATATATATATATTCAGCATATTGCACCACGGAAATGAATAAATATTTTGAATATAAATTTATGCAACAACATGTTGATATTTTGTGAAACACTATACTATCTGTCTATATACAACATATTCATCACATAAAAAAATATAGATAATAATTCAGTAAAAGTTTTATTATTGAACAACATAACTAAATTATGAACATGTAACATGTCTGTGTTAACATATCTTAAGTGCACGTCTCATATATAATTATTCCCCATGTTACAAAACTAAAAATCACAAACGAATACATGAACAATATAACCATACTATCAAAACAATATATTTCATATTTTAATTCAATATATTGAACTGAAAAAAAATAAATAAAAACAGCATTTGAAAATCAGCACAGATCCTTGAGGTCATGCTGAAAAACATCTTTAACTATGAAAATTAATTTATTGAATGATGTTGGAAAGATTTATGTAAGGGTAATATTAGGAGCAATTATTTTACTTTGAAAAAACCGTTTTGAATAATAATTATTTATTTTATAGAAACTAGAAAGTGAAGTTTTTGAGTGAAAGCTATTATTGTGTATTTGTAATTTTTATCTTGTATTTGCATCACACAATCTATAATACTCTCTTCGTCAACCAAATCTGTGCTCCAATGTCTTAAAAATATATTGTTTTTTTTTTTCACAAAATATCACATTCAACTACTATCTAAATAAAAAACACAAATATAAAACCAAAGTAAACAAAGCGTTAGTATGTGTTCTTTTGATGTTTTTCTTTTGTTTCTTTTAGTAGTGATTTTGATGTTTTTGCATTAAATAACTGTTTGGGTAGTGATGTATTGTTGAAATTCTACAAGAAAAAAAGCTTTGAATCCAAAATAGAAATAAACATACCTTTAGTTTTAACTTGTTTAAAGTCTCAAATAGGAAATTGCAAACACCGTAGCTAATTTTTTCAACAATGATAACTCTTAAGGCAACGTCGGGGTATTAAGTGAAACATCTCACTTTTTCTTTTATAGAAGATTGTGAAGCACGCAAAGTGTTGGGAACATGGACACCGTAATTAGCAATGCCTTTATTGTGATTCTACGGATTAACGAATATATTTTTCTATCTGTCTTTGAATAAATAGTTGCATGCACAAAGCTAAGAATATTAAATTAACTAATGAGGATCACATTTCATTTTTATTTTATTTTTTCATTTAAATTATCATATTGACTTGTTAAGTTTTTCAGTACTTTGCATGTAGTGCATGCTGCGTTTGCGAACATGAGTAATTACTAAATTTAGACGGAGAACAATAATTTAAAAGATACTTCACTTTATGAACATCTTAAGTTCTCAACTGCCCTAAACATGTAAAATATGGAAACGGCAATGATAACCATATTTCCTAGGGATAGAATTAACGTATTCCTGGTTTTTAAGTCTAAAATACAACTATATTCTTGTATATGTGTTCTGTTTGACGTTGCTATATATTTGGTAAGTTATGTTTGAATAGATTATAGATTATTTATTTTATGTTTTTATCCTATGCTGTAACTAAATTATTGGTTGGTAATTTTAGTAACATAGGCAACTTTAAGTTTCAAGGATCTAACAATGTCTCAAACTTGCTGATACTTAGAAGTTCTCGAAGTCTAGAATTTTACAAAAAGTTTCGCTTGACTAATATAAAAGACAATAACTTGACAAGAATAAAATAAAATAACATTTCATGGGGTTATTCTCCTAAACAATATGTAATCTTTTTTCCATTAATATAATTATATAACATCAACTAGAAAGACATACAAAAAATATCCAATTTTCCAAAGCATCCATGTCAACTTGAAGAAACCTAGTCCCAACAATCCTGGTCTTGGTTCCCGAACTTGTAAATATAAGAGAGAGACAAGTCCAGAGAACTTTCCTGTTCATTTGGAGTTTGAGATAACATGCCTTGGCTCCAGGTTACTCGGTGCCTAATGTGATCGCCATACTGTAGAAATTCAAAATTGAAAAATATCATTGGGATTGTTACGTCTAAACATGTGCATTAGCTGCTTGATATTGTTGTAATTTTCATTTGCTGAACAAATTGATGTCATTTTCATTTTTCAGGGCGATCTTGTCAGAATCTTTGCCAATGAAAACAACAAGATTACATGTGGTGAGTGTAATATCGATGACTAATTCTCTAATAGGATTTTATATTTGGTACGGAAGCTTAGATCTCAGTAGCAAGTTTTGACGTCCTTGTTTAGATGGGTTGCATTTTTCTCGACATTATATTTATTTTTGTCTAATAAATGCTACACAATTTCAGATGATGATATGCAAGACGATATTGATGCATATGTTTCTAAGGGATCAGCTACATTTCCCATCCTAATTCTTGTATGTGCTTATCAAATTCCGCTTGCTTTCCATTCTTTATCACTAACAGTACCCTGCTTTCGATTTTTTTTAAAACTAGTACGTACCTGCAATTGGCTAACGATATTTAAGTTGGGTTTTTTAGCATTATCAAAGTTTGTGGAAACAATTTTCTGACGTCAAGTTTCCTAAAATTTGTCAGTTAGATTCATCCGAGAATTGGGAACCAGCAACCCTGTCTCTGAGGCGACCAGGTTTTCAAGTCAAGGTTCAGAGTAAACAGGATGTTGTAATCTCCGAGAAATATTCGAAAGATTTGCTGGTATTATTCTTACTATTCACATTCCAAAGCATGGTTGAAAGTTGCTATTCTAAATGTTACCCCTATTCTTACATGACAAATCCCCTATACCTTTGGTTGCCGTTAATCTGCATTTCGTTTAAATATACTTTCAGATCAAAATACCCAGTGGGCTCTCGGCGCAGTTTGTCTTAACATGTGCGAATGGCTCCTCATATCCCTTTAGCACAAACAATGACGTGAGGTAAATGCCCCACTTTTTAGATTCTACTCTTTTCTCTACATAATCCCTTAAAATTATTCTTGTTAGGTTTTCTCGGTTATGAGTTCTTTTTCAGTGAGGTGACTGTTAATGTTGAATGCTTATAATTATACTTGTTTTCTGTTTAGGATGCGAGATATGATTGTGTTGACATTGAGAATTTTTCAAAGCAAGGTATGCAATTTTTTATTCTACGGCGTTTTTATGACTTTTCTTTTTCTTTTATGATGTAGAAACCCTCAGCTGCTACTCTTCGAGTACGCTCTGGGTAAACCTCTGGGCGAATTTAATAACCTGCAAATTAAGCCAGCAAGACAAGTTACACTAGGGGTGTGTTTGTTTGGGGGATTGGATTAGATTTCCACTATTCATCGCATTTTTCCCCCAAAAAACATCAAATCAAACACCTATTTTTCATTTTTTATATTATACTGAAAATCAATTTTACATTCAAGACATCACATAAACTCCTATTTATATCACATCATACAACTATTCAAATTCAAAATTTTTACTATTCAAATCCCAACTTAAAATCCAAACTCCCAAACAAACACACCTTAGGTGAATTATATGTGGCAGACAAGACTTAGAGGTGTCAAGAGTTTGAACCTATGACCTCACGATTACGATTTTACCCCATACTACGAAGTCATTCTTTATGGGACGTTTTTATGAGTTTCTTGAATGCATTCTCTGTGGATGTTCATGTTTTCTCCCAAAATTTTCTGTCAAGAATTTGTTGTGTCTCTAAGGTGAATTACTCGTTGATAGATACATAAAACTCAAAATTAAGCATCTAATCGAACTATAAATGTAAATAAGCGTGATTAAGCCAAGTCTTCCATTTTTATGACCTTGAACTAGAACTCTCTTGTTTTTTATTTTTTTTATTTTTTCAAATTTTAATATAAAGATTTCACCTGAGTAAAGAGCCAACTAATCCATATTAATAAGTTGTTGGGAGAGTAAGAAGAAACGACAAACTTGTTCTTATTTAATCATTTGACGAATAGAATGAAGTTGTAACTTTTTGCCAATTATTTATTAAGCAAGCGTTAAATCCTTTAAACTCTACATTTCGCTTGAAACAGGCCTTCGATGAGAAGAGGAAAGGCAAAGCATGATGGTATGCTTGTTTGACGATCTCTTCTTATAGGGCGGACAGAGACGAATGATGTCTATAGCCATTCTTGATTCTTTCTTGGAATAGAAATACTGCGAGTTTATATACACACACACATGCATACATACACTATGGCGTATAATTTAAATCAAAATAAGGTTAGATCGAGTTTTCTATATGTATATTGTGGCATTAGATTTATTTCTCCATGGAATGTGTTTGTTATATATATATATATATATATCATGAAAGTGTACAGCTTTTAGCTTGTGATAATTTGGATCTCACATAAAGGATGGCCATGTATTAATCAATTTGTTAATTTAGATATGCTTACATAGGTATGTTCTTGTTCAATTTTGACCTTTTGTATACTATGCATTGCACCTTTAGTTTCTATCTTCATTATCCATTTTTAGCATGTTTAATAAGCTCTAGATCATGTATATGTTTGATATTCTTGTGCATTAATAGCTGGATTTTTTTGTTTGATTGTGGGTTACAATTGGATTGGATTGGATTGATTTTAGAGGTTCTAAATAGTAGAATTTGAATTGATATAGGTTTTGTCTGGATATTTCAAATACTATTTTGATACTATTTTATAATCCGCATTAAAAAAAAATAATACTCTCTCTGTCTCCGTGCAAGGTTGTTATTTACTTTTTGCACGTAGATTTTTTAATATTAGTATTATAATGAGTTAGTAGTGAAAAAGACGAAAATATCCCTATTAGTATTGTATAATATAAAAGTAATGGTATTTGTGTAATATAGTGTAAGTTGAAAGGGTATTTATTATGTTAAGTAGGTAATACAATTATTAAATTAGAAAATGATAACCATGTCTTGAGACGGACGAAAATGAAAAAATGACTGACATTTCAATGGGACGGAGGGAGTAATAGTTTATTAGTCGCTAGAGTATGTAAGAAATTTTGAGCTCGTATAAAATAATTATATATGTAATGGTATGTTTGTAATTTGAAAAAGTTAAAGGATAATTTAGTATTAGTGTGTGATTATTTTTTAAAAAAAAATAGAAAATCGATATTTTAGAATGAACAGAAGAAAGTGATAAAAATTGTACTTTAAATTAAGATGGGATAAAACAAAAGTTATGGTTCAAATTTCGGACACTTTCATGTTCATTTATCACATATGGCTCACATGATTACATAGTATGACTTGTCTTCTCAGACATAATTTGCAGTGTATTAAAGTCGAGTGGAAGTTTACCCAAATGAATATTTATGTTATTTTACCTAGAATTAAAATTTTAATTCAATTTTTTTTAAAGTAACCAAAAGCGCAAACAAACACACCGTGAAGACAAATTTGAGGACACGTGCCAGAATCTCCATCGTAAAGCAATGGACATTTCTACCCTCCGTTTTCTTTTGGGTCCACCCAACAACTTACATCGCATTTTTATAGTAGAATAATTTCTACTCTACCCTCTCTCAACTAACTTCATGCGCCCCACCCCCCCCCCCCCACCCACCCCTATCCTGTTATTATTATTATTATTATTATTATTATTATTACTCCCTCTCTCCTATATTTATTTATTTTTTCGCATATTTTAAAAATATTAATATTATATTGAGATATAGTATAAATAAAATAAAAATGACAAATAATTTTATTAGTACGTATAATATAAAAATAATGACATTTGTATAATATATTGTAAAATTGTAAGGGTATTTATAAAGTAAGGTAGATAATACAGTTATTAAAAAAAAATACCAAAATGAACTAAAATAAAAAAAATGGATACTTTATTATAGAATTATTACGACGTACTCCACATTATCTAGTTCACACTACATTAGTTAAATCAGTAGTTTGTTTAATTACATAATATTTATATATATATATAAATATGATTGTTTATTTTAAAAAATTATAATGAATCTTAAATGATAAAATATATTTAAAAAATAAAACAAATGAAATATGAAAGGACATCGCAGAGTCCTTACAGTTAAACAAACACACCTATATCTTTTTATTTTTTAAAATATTTTAGCTTATTTTGTCGGATTTATATATTTTGATTTTTAAGAATTTATAAAATAAAAATTGAAAATATTATGACGGTTGTTAGTTTTCTGGCAAAATTAAATTAGCATAATATTGATTTGATTATGCCGGTAAAAATCAGCAAGAACGGAAAGGCATGTATAAATATACACTCCCTCCGTTCATTGGAAGGGTGTCATTTGCTTTTTGCACATAGATTTTTTAATATTAGTACCCCCTCCGTCCTCAATTTATCTATCCATTTTGTTTATGCACGAGATTTTAGGAATATTAGTATTATATTGGGATAAAATATAAATAAAGGTAATTAACCCTATTAGTATTGTATGATATAAAAGTAATGGCATTTGTATAATATATTGTAAATTAGAAGGGTATTTGTAATGTTAGGTAGATAGTACAATTACTAAAAAAGGAAACGAGAACTTTGTTATGGGACGGACCAAAATGGAAAAATGGATAGATTGTTAAGGGACGGAGGGAGTATTATATTGGATTGTAGTAAAAAAGACAAAAATATTCCTATTAGTACGGTGTAATATAAAAGTAATGGCATTTGTGTAATATATTGTAAGTTGAGAGGGTATTTATTATGTTATATATGTATTACAATTACTAAATTATGAAATGGTAACCTTGTTTTGGGACGGACGAAAATAGAAAATGGTAACATTTCAATGGGACGGAGGGAGTATATATATAATATTTTTTTCGTCCCAAAACTATAATCTGGATTGTATTTGGTACGAGATTTAAGGAATATTGATATTATATCGGCAGTGAATAAAAAGTACTGGTAAAAGACTTTTTTGCCCTTTAAGTGTATTAGTATAAAAAGTAGTGGAAATTGTGTAATAATAATGAAAGAGTAAGGGTAATTTTACAGTGATACAGTTATTCATGGAAACGAGATTATTGTTTTGGAACAAGACAAAAATAGTAAACAAGATTATTGTATTGGGAGGGAGAGTATAATATTGTGTCATGCAAAAGTATGTACTATACAATTAATATAAATTAAAAAATAATTAAAAATAATTTTATTAATCTTGTATACTAATAATAATGATATTTGTATAATATATTACTTTATTCGTCATTTTTATCATTTTCGCCTATTTCATTTCAAAGTATATTTTTCTATTTTAGTAAAAGTAATAATACATTAATACCAAAATACTTTTAATTTTTACCTAAATTACAAATATATCATTATATAAATATCAAATTTTTTTACACATTTCTATTAACTAATAAAATATTATGATTTTTTAATATATTGCCAAACCCCAAATGCAACTTTCGACATAAACGGAGGGAGTATAAATGATAAAAATATTACTATAAAATAAATAAATATTATTTCTGTCCCACATAATTTGTCCCTATTTTTTATTTTCGTCTGTTCCATATAATTCGTCTTTTTTTTTTTGAAAAATTGATTTTACATTTTGATCATATTTTAAAATTTAAATTTTATTTTTTTTAAAATTTTAATTAAACTATTTAGTTATTTTAATCTTAATCTATAATTATTTTTAATATATAATAAATTTTCCTAAATTTATGTATCTGCATTAATAGGTCCATATTATCTAAGGCAGGATGGAGTACTTTGTTAGAAAATTGATCAAAATATAATAAAAATAAAAATAATACTCCCTTCGTCCCAGAAGCATAGTCTTGTTATTGTGTAGCACGTGATTGGTAAAAAGCAAAGATAAATGACTTTTTTGCCCTTGTGAATATATTAGTGTAAAAAATAGTGGCAATTGTATAATAATAATGAATAATTATTGATAATTTTATAGTAATATAATTATTTATAAAAACGAAACTATTGTTTTAAGACGGATAAAAATAATAAATAAACATATTGTATTGGAACGGAGTCGGGTATTAATAATTTGTTACACAGAGGGAAGAAGTAATCTACAGTATAACCAATAATACATAATTATTTAAATTAATTTTTTATGGGTTCATGGATAATGGGGCGGTCGGTCATGAACACTGTGTAATAATGATCTCTCTGTGGAGCTCCTTTCTTCCCTCACCCCAAAAATCCCCAAATTTCCTGAAAACCCTAAATTAACTATGCGTAGATCCTCCGAAATCTAATCCACGCAGATCGCGAGCTAATGGAATCCATCGGTGACCGGAATCCCAATCCATTGCCGCCGTACACGGATTGCTCGCAGGGGATTTGCACCATATACTGCCGACAGTACTGCTACCTGATCTACCCTCCGCCGCCGCCGCCGCCGTCGTCCGATGACGATTCCGGCCCCTCCTTCTCGCCTCTCATCATCGCCATCATCGGCGTGCTCGCCTCCGCCTTTATTCTCGTCAGCTACTACGCCATCGTCCGGCGCTACTGCCGCCGGAGGCGGAGCGCGGTCGCGAATCGCGACGAGTTAGGTCAGGATCTATGGCAGATTTCGGCAGACTCAGCGGCGGCGGCGGCGGCGGTCGGACTGGATGAAGCGGCGATTAAGACGATCACGGCGGTTAAGTACCGGAAGGGCGACGGATTAATCGACGGAACAGAGTGCGCCGTCTGCCTGAGCGAGTTTCAGGAGAACGAGCCGTTGAGGCTTCTCCCTAAATGCAGCCACGCTTTCCACCTATCCTGCATCGACACGTGGCTCAGATCGCAGTCCAATTGCCCTCTCTGCCGCGCCAACGTCGCCGGCGCCGGCGCCGTGGCTCCGCCGGCGGCGAATGGCGCTCAATCTTCGTCAAATCTGAGTTCGAATTTGTACCAGATGCGTCCGCCGGATGACCTGATTGTCGTCGTAGAGAATATTCCGGCGGATGATCGGACGGCTGTGATTCGTCGCGATGATGATGATGGGAATGGAAGGAATTGCGATGGATTTCGAAGGTCAGTTTCGGTAGGCGGATTTCCGTCGGAAAGGAGGGTTTTGATTTCGGATATTTTGAGGTTGGAAGATTCGTCGTCCCCTGTTGCGATGAAGAGGTCGATTTCGACGGGAGGGTTCTTCTTCTCCACTTCGTCATCTCATCATAGCAAAGGCAAGAATTCTTCTTTACCCCCAAATTAAATTTTAAATTAAAATTAAAATTGAGTATATATATGTAGATGAAGATGAAGACGAAGATGATTAGGTTTGTGTTTGTTGATTATATATATATATATATATATGAATTTGTTGTGACACGATTTCTTCGACAAAATATTTGTGTCTTTTTTACATTTTTATTCGACATTGCTTTCTTCTTGCATTTGGGGATTTCTTCTAACACTTGTAGGTGTCTAAATTTAAATATTAATATAAATATTTAGGTTTTGTTTAGTTGGTTGAATTTGATTTGAATTATTGATATTTGAATATAAATTATTATATAAAAAATATAACAAAAAATTATAAAAATATTTTTATTATTATTTTATAATACTAAAACGACATTTTCTTATAAATAAATTTCTAATAATTTTCTTTAATTAATAAATATTTTTATCTATATTTTAAAACTTCTAATTTTTTATAAAATTAATTTACAGTAAAAATAAATAAAAATATTTATTTATATTATATAAAAATTTAAATTTTTAAAAAATAATATTTATATTATATATATTTATATTAAGATATAATATTAAAAAAGTTAAACAAATATTTTTAATATTTTTAATCATATATAATATATTTCTATTATACACTATTACTATTAAATAATTAATTTTTATTATATAAAGAACAAATTTATACTATATAGACTGGTGAAGAAAATGTCAATATTTAGTGGTACAAAAGGACTATCATATTAAGACACAAAAATAAGCTTCAAGTATTGAACTTAAATCAATATACTCCTATCGTTTCGGAACTAATAATCTATTTGCTTTTTGCACGTAATTTTAAAAATATTAATATTATATTGGGATATAGTAGGAATAAAGTAGAAATAATTAAAATAATTTTATTAGTACGTGTGATATAAAGGTAATGACATTTGTGTAATATATTGTAAGTTGTAAGGGTATTTGTAATGTTAGATAGATACTACAATTACTAAAAAAAAAGAAAACGAATACTTTGTTATGAGACGGACAAAAATAAAAAAAAATAAATACTTTGTTATGAGACGAGAGAGTAATAAAAATAATATAATGATATTTCGAAATTAGTCGTATCATATCCAATAATATAAGTAACAGTTTAATAAAAAATTTATTGTTAACTAATTATAAATATTATTCGGGTGCTCTCTATTATTTTTAATTAAATTCATAAATATATGTTTTAAAACTAATACTAAGGAAATTATTGTATTGAGACGAGGGAGATTTGTTCTTTTATTTTTATAATAAAACCATTATTTTTTTTTAAAATAAATTTTTTTAAAAATAATAAAAATTATTTCACTTAAAAATATCACAATTCATTTAAATATTATAAACTTAAAAGAACAAATCCGACAAATTTGATAATACTCTGTCCATCACAATACAATAGTCCTATTTATTATTTTTGTCCGTATTAAAACAATAGTTTCATTTTTATAAATAATTATATCAACTGTAAAATTACCCTTACTTTTTCATTATTATTACACAATTACCACTATTTTTTACACTAATACACTTATAAGGGCAAAAAAAAATTTTACTCATATTTTTTACCAATTACTAATATAATATCAATATTTTTTAAATATGTGCCAAATAAAACCAGACTATAGTTCTGGAACGGAGGGAGTAATATTTGGCGGGGCAAATAATATGTTGACACAAATTGGGATATTAATTTAAATCTTTATTTAAATATTTATTTTAATATAAAATCTATATATTTATATATTTATTTGTCATAAAAAAATATTTTTATATATTTATTTATTTTTTATTGTTCAACCGCCAATTTATTTTCTATTCATTAATGTCACTGTTACGGTTAGGAATAGATTCTTATGAAAGTGCTACTTTATGTTGTCCATAAAAATAATAATATTCCATACGTCTTGTTACTTATTATTTTATTTTTTTTGTTGGAATTCTTTTATAAATTATATATATATCATTTTCCTTCGGTAAAATTAAATAAGATTTATTGGATATAAAAATTAAAATATAATAATATTTTAATATTAAAATAAAATAAAAAAATAATAATAAAGTAAGAGTATTATAAAAAATTTATTAAAAAATTAATGAAAAAATAATTTTTAAAAAATAATAACAAATTAATTATTATTTGTTAAAATAATAATAATAACAAAATTGTAAGTGAATAAAATTACTTATTATAAATTGATTGTGTATAAACTTAACTGAAAATTGCAATAAAAAAAAATTAGTTATATAATTTTGGCGGATATAAAGAATATATGTTTATTTTACATTATATGATACTCCATTCGTCCCATTCGAATTTATCATTTTGAAGTTCTGTAGTAAATTAACAAATAATAGTATTTTATTAGTTAGTTAAAATATGCAAGATATTTTGATATTTTGATATTTTTGTCATTTGATTTTATGTATCAAATAATTGTATATTAATGTTATATTTGTAATTTAAATAAAAATTTATAATATTTTGGTATTAATGCATTATTATTTTTACTAAAATAAAAAATAAATATTTTTTTTTAGTAGAACGTAAAAAATGGTAAAAACAAAAGCAGCCAAACCATGTGTGGCAAGTGACTTGAGACGGCGGGCCGAACCTAATACCCTGCAAACCAGGCATGACGGAAAAGTCTTCAGAGGTCGGGAGTTTGAACCCATGACCGGGTCCAACCCTTACACAACCAGGTCATCTCTTACGGGACTCGTTTTTCTTGTTAATTCATTCTAAAATAGATGATTCATTTATATTTTTAGTAAATTTATTCTAATATATTTTATACATAAGACTTACTCAAAACCATTTATTGGTATCTATCTTCAATAAACATATATATATATATATATATTTATTATTATCTACATTTAAACTTTCTCATTTTTTTTTAATAAAATTAGTTTAAATTAATTACAAATAAATAAATAAAATGTATTATATATTTTTATTAAAATAATATTATAAATATTTAAACACATTATAATTTTGTAATAATATATATTTAAAATATCAACAACACTATTTATATAAAAAATAATAAAATAATATTACAACTTATTATTAATAACTTACTAATTTTATAATACCTAAATAAATGTTGAATAAATATTATAAATAGAAACCAAACTCCAATAAATATTATTATAAAAAATAATATATATTATTCATTTATAAAAGAAAAAAATTAATAATTTAATATTAAAATATTATTTTTTATATTCTCACACATTTATACTATATTCGTTAAGTTTGTGTCATACCTATATTCAACTTCAATAGATGATTTTTTATTTATTTTTTTCAAAAACCTATATGATTCTATTTCAATATGTAATGTATTTTATTTATAAAAAATCAAACTACTTTTATAATAACCTAAAATAAATTTGCAAAATGTAGCTATATATTAAAATTCGGGTAAAAAAAAAAAAAAGTTACGAGTTCCTTTCTCGATCCATGGATATATCATGATGGCTCAAACAAAATATAAAAGAATTTTCGAGCAGCGGCTGCGGATTCCCACGTCATAATAAAAATAAATAAATAAATAAAAATGAAACTGTATAAGATGCAACAAAAATTTAATTTTTATATTTAACAGCATTTGGGCTAAAGCCCACAACTTCATTTTGGGCTGAGGCCCAAACACATTAGTAGATCTAGCTCATGCTAATATATCGGCCCAACTATTGTCCGGGTTCATTGATTGTAGTAGTTAAATAAAAAATTTAACCAAAAATAAAACTTCTCTGTCTCATTCAAAGTATTAATTTTCTATTTCAGAATAAGTAATCATACGTTAAAGACCAAAATACCCTTTAATTTTTACTTAAATTACAAACATATAATTACTTTATCGAATGACAAAAATGTCAAAACTCTAAGAGTATGTTTCTTTTGATAGGTTTGGAGAAACTTTGGTTTGAGATTAGTATTGAAATAATGTACGATGGATATTTTGTAGGAAAAAATATATATATTTTATTCGAAAAATCAGAATTCAAATAATAAAAATCTGGCATTTGGAGTAAAAAAAAAAAAAAAAAAAACTAATAAAATATTATCATTTCTTAATATATTATAAAACCCCAAAGGTCTCTTTTAATTTTGGCCGAAGAAAGTATAATTAAAATTGAATATTGAATCGAGGTTAGACTAAATTAAAAATTAAAATTAAAATGATCTAAATTTAACAACACGAAACGTGTTTCTATAACATGATTTGACTCAAGATTTAACTTGTATTAGAATTAGAGTTGGCAATTCGTCGATTCGCGTTGGGTTCGTATCGAGTTGAATATTTTAAACGGGTTAAATTACTCAACTATAATCCGATTCTTTTATGATCGTGTCGGATTCGGGTTGACTCGTGTTGACCCGTATACATAATTAAGTCGAATTTCTTGATTCAAATTAAATAATTTTTTGTTATGTTGTCGCGTTATGTTAGTTTTTATTGGTTTGAACGTAAATTAAGTTGAATTATTTAAAATTGAACTTAGTTTAAATTAATTTATGAGAAAATTATTAAATTATGATTATTTTACATATATAATAGATATATTAATCAATATTAATATATTATAATCTGGTTGTCATGTCGGATTCTAGTTGAGAGCCTCAATCATAATCCACTTGTTTACTATAGTGTCGGGTTCGTATTAACCTGTATACATAATCGGGTTGAAATATTTGATCCAAATCTAATTATTTCGTGTCGGATTCGGGTTGACTCGTGTTGACCCGTATACATAATTAAGTCGAATTTCTTGATTCAAATTAAATAATTTTTTGTTATGTTGTCGTGTTATGTTAGTTTTTATTGGTTTGAACGTAAATTAAGTTGAATTATTTAAAATTAAACTTAGTTTAAATTAATTTACGAGAAATTTATTAAATTATGATTATTTTACATATATAATAAATATATTAATCAATATTAATACTCCCTCCGTCCACTTTGAAAGTTTACAGTTACCTTTTGCGTCATTGTACTTAACATTAAAAATATCATTGTATTTGTATAAGTTTGTATACAAATATCATTATATTTATATCATAAGACATTAATAGAAGTATTTTTGTCTTGTTTACTTAATTTATACTATATAATAATTAATATTTAAAGAGCAACACGCAACAAGTAAATGTAAACCTTTAAGGTGGACGGAGGAAGTATATTATAATCTGGTTGTCGTGTCGGGTTCGAGTTGAAAGCCTCAACCCTAATCCGACTTGTTTACTATCGTATCGGGTTCGTGTCAACCTGTATACATAATCGGGTTGAAATCTTTGACTCAAACCCAATTATTTCGTATCGGATCGTGTCAGGTCAATTTTTGCCGGCTCTAGTTAGAATAATAAAGTCAACAAGTTGTTTATAAATGGCATGATTAGTGATTACTAAGTATGGAATATCCAAATTGAATATTCCTACAAAATTGTATTAATATGTGAAAATTAGAAACTAATCTTCTCCTTTATGATAAACAAGTCTTGTTTGTTTACTATATAAATTATGCTTTATATATGTATATAATACTTGAATAATCCTTCATTCGGTCATTCAAATATATACTCACTTTTCTTTTGGGTTGTCATCGAAAAATATTTTCATTTATTTTTTAAATAAAAAATCATTCCACTTTTGTACTGTTTTTAACTATAAAAGAAAAAATTAACGATTATTACTCACTTTTATTAAAATTCGTGCCCGGTCAAATGAACATACATTTGCATGACGGAGAGAGTATAATATTTTGAATTTTAAAAAAAATTAATATCAGATTAATTCTAAAAAATATTTCAAAATTGAATTAAAAAAAATAAATTCAAGAAACTAAACTTATAAGTTGTATTGAGTAACACGACTACATAGATTACGTGCAAGAGATAATTGCTTATAGAAGCCAAGCAAAATCGTGAAAGAAACAACCAAGTCTTGTCATTTTTTTTACACAAATTTAATTTAATTTAATTTATGTCGATAATTATTAGTTTAAACTTTTCAGATAGTCCGAATTCGTGGACATATTTCATTAGTGACACGATATTCAAAAAAATGATATTTAATTAATTAATAATAGTAAATTATAATGTTATTTTATTAAAAACAATTTTTTATTATCATTATTATTTGGTGGTCATGTTTTTTCAATAAACATATAAGTACTTATATATATATATATATAAATTGCATCAATTGTTTTTTAAAAATTAAAATTAAAATTCAAAGTTTGAAGATTTACACTTTGGATTTTTTGAAAATGCTGAGAATAAAAAAAATATATTTAGAATAATTTATAAAAAATGTAAATATTTAATGTGTTTTTTTTTTCTAAAAAGAAATATTAATAAAACTGACAATTGTGAAATTGCCAAATGCAGAAAATTTTCAAATTGCGAAGGATTGGATTTGTTACATATATAAAATTTAATAATTTTGGTGCAATGCAATTCCCACGTGCTAATTAAAATTTATGTAAGTCGAGCTTGTCATGTTTAAAATTAATACTGTCATTAATATGTCGACACATGTATAAAATGTATTCTTATACAGTGCTCTCAATTTCTAAAATTTTTGTTCCGAGGTTTGGATTTTTTTTTTCTTAAAGGAATTTGAATAGTAAAAATTTTAAATTTGAATAGTTATATAATGTGATATAAATAGGTATTGATACGATATTTTAAATATAAAAATAATTGTTAGTATAATACTCCCTCTGTCCGGCTAGAAAGTATACATATTTCTATTTTGGGACGTCCAATTAGAAAGTAAAAATTTCATTAAATACCTTATTTTTTCTACAAATACCCTTACTTTACATCACAATGTTACTTTTACACCAAAAAAATAAGGGCAAAAATATCATTACACTACTTTTAATTACCCATTATAATTAAAATACTATTATTTTTAAAAACCGCGTCAAAAGTAAATGTATACTTTGTATGTAGACGGAGGGAGTATACAGAATAAAAAATAGATGTTTGATTTAATATTTTTGAGATTTTTTTTTTCTAAATAATAGAAAATTGGGGAAATTTGATAAAATAACACACCCTGGAGGGTGTGTTTGTTTGGAGGATTTGTCCTCAAATTCATTATTCATCCAATTTTTTTTTTCAAAAATATCATATCAAAGATCTATTTTTTATTTTTTATATTATACCGAAAATCAATTTTACATTCAAAATATCACATCAATATCTATTTATATCACATTATACAACTATTCAAATTCAAAATTTTTACTATTCAAATCCCAATTCAAAATCCAAACCCCTCAAACAAAGTATAAATACAAATCAAACATTTTGCAATTTCTTTAACTTAGACTAAAAAAATGATGCATGAGATTGGTTGATGATTCTTTTTTTTTTTTTAAAAAAAAATAGAATAATAATTTGAATATTTTGTTTTTATTTTTATATTTTTATTAATAGCAGAAAAAGAAATAGTAAAAATAAGAAAATGAACACGATGATTTTAGTATTTAAATAAATAAAACTAATACAAACATGTTATTGAAAATATGGTGTCATCTAATGAGTGGTTGAATTGCTGCTATTATGTCATTTATGGCATTATTTAAACTCTATACAATGAATGTAGTTTGTAGGTAAAAATTTACAAAAATTTCCAATAATACTCATTTCATGTAGTATAATATAAATAAATACTTAATACTCCATCCGTCCCAATATAATAGTCTTGTTTATCATTTTTGTCCGTCCCAAAACAATAGTATCATTTTCATAAATAATCATATCACCATAAAACTATCCCTATTTTTTTTATTATTATTATTACACAATTATCACTACTTTTTACGCTAATATACCCACAAGAGCAAAAAAGTCATTTATCATTACTTTTTACCAACTATCAATATTCTTTAAATCTCGTGTCTAACACAATAAAACTATACTTTTGAGACAGAGGGAGTATGATATTTTTTAAAATTTATGCATAGTACTTACGCCACACTTATGTTTATTAATTTTTACTAAATTTTTTATAGTACTCATTTTATTTTTTGTCGTACTCTATTTATATATAAAATACTATTTCCTTCGTCCCATGTAATATGAGCCTATTACAGTAGATATGAAAATTTAGGTAAAATATAATTAGTAAGTAAGAAGTGTACTAGTAAAAGTAATTACTATATAGTAAAAATAATTATAAATTAAAAGTAAGATTAAAAAAATTACTCCTCTGTCCCAGAACTATAGTCTGAGTTGTGTTTGACACGAGATTTTAGGTAAAAAGTACGGGTAAAAGACTTTTTTCCCCTTATGAGTGTATTAGTGTAAAAAGTAATGACAATTGTATAATAATAATGAAAAAGTAAAGATAGTTTTATAGTGATATGTTTATTTATGGAAATAAGAAATAAATATTTTTTTATATAATGATATTTTTGTAATTTAAGTAAAAATGAAAGATATTTTAATATTAGTATATAATTACTTAATCTAAAATAAGAAATAAATATTTGAAGTGGAACAAATGTAAATAGTAAAAATATTACTTTGAATTAGGCTGATAAGAAGAGAGTATAATATTTCGTTATGTTTTAGTATTTGTAAAAAATATTTTATGTATATTTTTATTTAACATATTTCGTGCAATAAATAAAATAAAATAAAATAAATAGTATAATATTTATATTAAAATTAAGAAGTTTATTGTGTATGAGAAAACCCTTTTCTCGAAACAACCATATGTGTATATATATCATAACAAAATTAAGCACTCCAACAAGAAAATCTCAAAAAATGGCTGCTTCGGAATCCCCCATCAAAACCGTCGTCGTTTTGGTCCAAGAGAACCGCTCCTTCGACCACATGCTAGGCTGGATGAACGCCGTCAACCCCCAAATTAACGGCGTCAACGGCACCGAGTCCAACCCTCTCCCCCCTTCCGACCGGGTTTTCTTCAGCGACAAATCGGTCTACGTCGAACCGGATCCGGGTCACTCCATCCAGGACATATTCGAGCAGATATTCGGCGTCCCGTGGACCGCCGCCGCCGCCGGGAAGAATCCGCCGCCGGCGATGCAGGGTTTCGCGCAGAACGCGGAGCGGAAGGGGGCCGGGTGGTCCGCCGCCGTGATGAACGGGTTCAAACCGGATGCTCTGCCGGTTTACAAGGAGCTGGTGCAAGAGTTCGCGGTGTGCGACCGGTGGTTCGCGGCGGTGCCGGCTTCGACGCAGCCGAACCGGCTGTACGTCCACTCGGCGACGTCGCACGGGGCGACGAGCAATGACACGTGGAAGCTGATCGAAGGGTTCCCGCAGAAGACGATATTTGAATCGTTGGAGGAAGGCGGGGGTAGTTTTGGGATATATTATCAGTATCCTCCGGCCACGCTTTTTTACAGGTAAAATTAATTATTCATTTTATTTCTTCATTCATTTTTTATTATGTTTTACTATTTTGTTCTACGTAAAATGTCCATATTTTTTATTTTCGTCAATTTGTTAATTTTTTTTTTAAGAATATAATTATATATTTTAATTATATAGTATTTTTAATTTTTAATTTTAAAATTTTAATTAAATTATTTAGTCATCTTAATCTTAATTTATAATTATTTTTATTATATTATAATTATTTTTACTGATAGACTTCTTAAAATTTACTAATGATCAACAAATATCTATAAATAAAATACAAAATATTAATATAATATATAATACAATGTATATTATCTTTCTTGTGATAATTTGCTAATTATTTTAAATTAATGTACTAATTTGACGAATTGCCAATTATATCAAGTTAGTTTGCTAATTTTACCTAAAAATATATATTGCAATCATATTTGATTTAATATAAGTAATTAAGTGTTTAATGTTATATTTTAAAAGAAAATAAAAATTATTAAATGTATTAAATACTCTCCATTATATATATATATATAAGTACATTAGGAAATTATAGTATTTATTAGTTAGTGAAATAGTGTAAAATGATATTGATATTTTTGCCTCTAATTTGTAAGTAAAAAAGAGGAGAGAATATTTTTGTATTTATATATAGATTACTTTTATTGAAATACTTTCTTCGTTTTTTATTCATTTTGGTTTGTCCTATAACAAAGTATCTATTTTTTTTTTTTTAGTAATTGTACTATCTATCTAGCATTACAAATATCCTTCAAATTTATGATATATTACACAAATATCATTACTTTTATATCATACAATAGGGTTAATTTAGTCTTTTTACTTTTATTTTTACTTTATTCAAATATAATACTGATATTTCTAACTCCGTGTAAAACAACAAATGGATATATAAATATGTGACGAAGGAAGTATAAAATTTCGATAAAATTTATACTTTTGAACGAGACATTGATATAATGAATACAAAAGTAATTTCGTGTAGTTGACATCTCAATCAAAGTTGACACTTCAATAATGTATGTTTCCAACCTTTTCTTTTCCAAAATATTAATCATACAATATCTACTCAAAATTCATTCAAAATATTTATTTTTATCTCTTTTTAATAAACAAATTTATCTCTTTTTAATAAACAAATTAAGTTATTGTTCGTGGATTTGATTTTTGAGTTTGAATTTTTGAATAGTAAATTTTAAATTTAAATAATTATTTGGTGTGGTATAAATAGATATTGATGTGATGTTTTTAATATAAATTAATTTGTAGTATAATGTAAAAACTAAAAAATAATTGTTTGATTTGATATATATATTTTTTTAAACAAATAAATAGTAAATATTTATAGTATTCTTTATTTATTTGTATTTTTTATAAATTTATTTTACATTATAAACCTACCATCAAAACATATTTCACTTAAAAAAAAAATATATTTAACAGAATTCTGTCTCTAATGTCATTAGTAACGGAAAAAATAAATTTAGAGACAAAAAAATTTTATTACAAAAATGATTTTTTTTGTAGTGTTTATACAATATCAAATAACTATTCAAAATCCAAACTTTTCACAGGAACTTGAGAAAATTGAAGTATATACTGAACAATTTCCATCAGTTCGATCTCGATTTCGAGAAGCATTGCAAGGAGGGAAAGTTACCAAATTATGTTGTCGTGGAACAACGTTATTTCGACTTAAAAATATTGCCCGGAAATGATGATCACCCTTCCCATGATGTCTTTGAAGGCCAAAAATTTGTCAAGAAAGTGTACGAAGCATTGAGGTCGAGCCCTCAATGGAATGAAATATTGTTTATCATTATTTATGATGAACATGGCGGATTTTTCGATCATGTGCCAACTCCGGTTGCCGGAGTTCCTAGCCCCGATGGGCTTGTAGGACCCGAACCATACAAATTTCAATTTGATCGATTAGGGGTTAGGGTTCCGGCCATCATGATATCTCCATGGATCGAGAAAGGAACCGGTAAGTATTTTTTTTGTATCCGAATTTTGATATATTAGCCACATTTTACAAATTTATTTAAGATTATATTTATAAAAGTAGTCTGATAGTTCCTCTGGCAACTCCAAATGTGCTCATTTTTGTGAACGGAAAAAGTATTTATAATTAAAATACATTACATATAGATCAAGTCATAACCTTATATAGGTTATTGAAAAGAAAAGAAGAAAATAAAGAAAAAGATATAAACTATTCTTATTAGTAAGAATATATTTCTAACGATGAATATAGGTGTGATTATTTTTTTAGTAATTTTGTTTTAAAAATTTTTGATGTAAAAAATAGTTGTTTGATTCAATATTTTGTACAGAAACTGAATATTGAATGTGGTGCTTTTGGAAGAAAATAAAAGATTGAATAGTAAAAAATATGAAAGTAAATTAAAATGAATGGAAATATGGTTGTATTTAATTGCAAGGTTAATAATAATGTTTACTTGTATTTTTTATTTTTGTATGTGTGTTTGGTATCATTTTTTTAAAAGTAGAAACAATTATTTTATTATGATTAGAAAACAGAAATAATTTGATGTGTTTTTAAGATGTAAAATCTCTCAATTTTAAAAATTGCATGAATTTTACATAATTTATTTATGTGACAACTTCCATTTTCGTGTGTTGTATTTTCGATTAGATAGTGATGATAACGAAGTTTATGCAATATTGATTAATACATAATGGTATAATGGTATATCACCCAATTAAATATTTTCAAGGTGTTTTCGAAAGCTAATCATCACCAAAAAAAAAAAAAAAAAAAAAAAAAAAAAAAGACGAAAAATTCTTTTTGGAGTTTGCATAAACTATTTTGCTTTGGTAATATATGTCTACAGTGAAAGTTTCACTTTGAACTAATTATTTTACGGTCATAAGTTTATCATACATTATCAGACCATATTTACGGGATAATACTAACCAATTTATCTGATGACATGTAGTGTTGCACGGGCCATCAGGACCATATCCAACGTCGGAATTCGAACACTCTTCCATAGCCGCAACGGTCAAGAAGATTTTCAACTTGAAGGAATTTTTAACCAAGCGCGACGCTTGGGCCGGAACTTTTGACATCGTACTAAATAGAACAAGCCCAAGACTTGATTGCCCGGGTAATAAACATTTCCTCAACCAATTTCATTCGTTTTTTTACCAAGCAAATTCAGACAATCTTTTCGATTTGTACATAATGCTCCAATACTATTCATAGAATCTTTACCAGAACCAACCAAGCTACGGGAGGCTGAAGCCCAAGAAGAGGCAAAGTTAAGCGAGTTTCAAGAAGAAATGGTGCAAATGTCGGCGGTATTGTGCGGGGACCACAAGAAGGATGATTTTCCACGTGGGATTGTCGATGGCATGACAGTGGCACGTGGGGCCGAATATGTGAATAGTGCATTTAAAAAGTTCTTGAATGAGTGCGAGAAGGGGAAGAATAAAGGGGCAGATGAATCCACTATTTGCATCCCGGGATGGGATGATCAACAAGAAAACTCGTCCACGGCAAAAATGTCGGAGACTAAGCCTAGCCGGTCCTTCGCTTCGAAGTTCTTTTCTTGCTTGGTTTGCGGTGGCGGAAATGGCGACGGAGATGGCTCATGATTGTTGAGGGTTGAAGATGGAGATTGGATCTAAAGATTGTTGAATGTTTGCTTGATTGGCTTAGCTTGAAATTCTTTCTTGTGGATATGTTTGATTCATAATTTGTGACTTGTTAATAGTTGATTGATTTAGTGAGACCAATAATAAGTGACATTGTGGGCAAATTTAAAATTGATTATACTACTCATTTTTGTTATTTGTAATTTCTACGGTGTATTTGGTTCTATTCAAATAAAAATTATCTCTTAGGTAGTCCAAACATTACATAATAAATTGATTATACTAATTTTTCTTACGGTCACCAACAATGTCTTGGTTACGTCCACGGACAGAAACAGAGAACATATTTATTGAAGACGGCTAGATTACAAATTACATATATCTATTTTTAATACAGATTAACCTAAACTGCATATCTCTAAGTCTATTCAAGTAAGTTAAGAGAATACATCAACGAGATTCTCGTAAAAACTCAGCGAAGTGGTAGAAGACATATCTAACATCTTATTTGTAAAGAATATATAGGTCCGCTATATATTAACATATTTTTTGTGTTAGAAATCAACAATAGTATTATTGTGATATGACGCATTTATATTATGTAATACACCATATACTGTCGATTTATATCTTATGTGTTGTCTTTTTATACTTTATGTGTCGTCAATGTCGTGATAATTAATCTTTATCAATACTGTAATCTCCACCCAATATTAATTAAATCAACATCAATCTTATTAAGTTGAATCATTTTAATATAATACAGAATTAAATGAAAATTTCATTCACTCATGCATGTATTCAACAATATGATTTAAACTAAATTTTTTTTACCTTTATACAAATCTCAATCATTCATTTATTTCATAATCTACAACACACTTCATTCTTCTTCTTCTTCTTCTTCTTCTTCATTGTAACCTCTCGGGATTTGATGTGATCAATCCTCCATATTCTCTGTATTCAAGCTCTTGTACCAACTCATCACTTTTGCTATAAACTCTGTGTATCGAATCGAATTATTAGTATTATCCATAATCGTAATAAGATCTTATGTTTCTCATGAACAAGATATTAATTCATAGCCAAGCTCTTAATTTATTTCATGAATATATAGCCAAGCTTTTCCCCTTTTTGATCTTTCGATTGATTATTTGTAATTAAATTTTATTCATCGATAGCGTATAAAAAAAAATTCTTTCTCATGTTATGTGCTCGACTAACCTTCAATCTCCATGAACTGATGGATGTTCTTTGTATAATCATTTTTTCTTCGACCAAATTCTTCTTGATCTTCGGACGGGAACGACTTCTCTGTACTAGCGTCGCTTTTCTGCAATTAAGACGATGTTTAGCCATTTACGCTATCAAAAATTTCCTTACAACATTTTATCCGGTCGAGCTGAGTTCATACTTGATGTTCCTCGAATAGCTCGATAAATTGCATCCGTAAGTCCTCAGGTAAACACCTATTCAGTGCTTCCTTTAGAGTCTGCAGAATAAACAGCAGAATCTGTTAATGTGTAGATTTGATCATACGGCGAAGGTGAACGTAAACTCGCCTTTTCTTACTTGAAAAATGAATTTTGGATCGATATTGTGCTCTAAAAGTCTTTGGATTTCTTCTTGGATGCTGTAAAGTCTGTTTGGAAGTAAATGTAATTTTTTTTCGATTAAATTTCCATATTCGACAATGTTACGATCATTTCAGCAATACTTACTGCTTTAGAGTTTGTTCTTTAAGCATTTTTTCGGCGATATTTGCTATTTCATCTTCCCATCCAGTTTTGATGTCGCAATCTCCGATCAATGAAGAGCAGCATCGTCTAATAAAAGGAGAATTCGAAGCCAAGAATGTTATTACACTTAATCCATGGCCTGTAGAGGGGGAAATTGTAGACAAATATCCCCACGTATACCTTATTATCACTTTTGTCCTGTATTTATCTCGTTGGCAAAATATATCCCACATGTTTGCAAAAGTCGCTATTTATATCTTTTGGCCGCTCAAAGAAATAACGACTTTTGCAAACATATATGATATATTTTGCTAGCGAGATAAATACAGGACAAAAGTGATGATGAGATATACATAGGGAATATTTTTTACAATTTTCTTGCTTGTAGAGCGATTTTCGAAAGAATTTTTTTTTTATTATTACAAACTTGGAATGCCAAGTTGCTTCGAATGAGCGTATTGCTTGTCTCAAATTATTCTTCGAGCTTTTAGCTATTTTCGATGCCAATTGCCGCGATAACTCTATCTTCTCTTCTTTCGCTATTGTCTCCAAAACTTCGAGAATCTTTGGAAACATAAAATTTGTATAAGCCGCGCAAATTTGAATTAATGTAGGAGTGTAGATTGTAAGAACATCGTAATACTACCTCTTCATGTGAAGGATCTAATATTTTGACGAATGTGCAAGACTTCTTGACAGCGTCGAGTTTTTTGGCGTCGTTGCAGCAGAAGAATACCTTGTAATAACCATCGAGCGTCTCTAGTATCCGCTCGATACTTGCTAGGCTATCGTCCGGTAACTTGTCGACGTCATATAGAATTACAGCTGCAAGCGATGTGCTATTTAGTACACAGAGTACTTAATTTTTCGTTCGACTTATAACTTGTAAGAAAATACCTTTAAAGTTGTCGCAATTGAACATTCGATTTTTATCCTTGACAAGTTCTTCCATAACATGCTTCTCATAGCCTTTGAGTTCAGATAAATTAACTTCGATATGTTGCCGCGATTTCCTCAAGTTTACGACGACGCTGGCCCCTGCCTGTCCCTGGTATGAATCATGAGTCGACGAGTTTATTTGTTGAATTTACAACGAAAACTTGGGAAAATTATTAAAAATATCTCCATGTATACTCCATTATAACTTTTGTCCTGTATTTATTTCGCTGACAAAATATATCTCACATGTTTGCAAAAGTCGCTATTTATATCATTTGGCCGCGCGTCACTGCGTGTGGTGTTCACGTGCGGCTACATGACAGAAATATCGACTTTTGCAAACATATATAATATATTTTGCCAGCGAGATAAATACATGAAAAAAGTGACGATGAGGTATACATGGAGGATAATTTTTACAATTTTCACCTAAAACTTTTGAATATACGACTCACCTTCGCAAAAAATTCCTTGCTTTCGTCCCTTGCCTGTCAACAAGAAGTGAAAAAAGATCGATAGATCCCCGAGTTTGTTAGTTTTTCGAATCGATTGCGACGAGATATTGTAGAAATCAAAATTTGAGCTTGATCATTGTGAAATCGACGAGCAAATTTACCTCGACGACGTCTTGTCCGAAGGCTTCTCTAAGAAAAGCACGGATCATCGTTCTCTTGCCCACCCTGGGATTTCCTTCGAATACGAAATGACCAAATTCTTCGTTTTCGTCGCGCCATTTCTTCGCCAAGTTTTGTAGCGATTGCGCCGTTTTTCGATTACATACAAAATCTTTGAGCCAAAGAGGCCGGTATTTCTCCAACCATGTGTATACTCTTTCCTTTTCTACGTCGTTACACATCTCCGCGCTCTCGTACTCATCCCCGTCGAGTGCACGATGTAATAACACTTTCGTTTGTAATATTCTCGCCGGTGCATCGGGGAGTAGCCACTCCGGAAGTGTCGCTACCGGCAGCGATAGGTGCGGAAGTCGACATGGAAAAGATTCCGGTGGTGGTGCCATCGGTGGCGACAGCGGCAGCATATTTTCTGATGAACTAAAAGTAATTAGTTTCCTTTCTGATTTAAACTTATTTTTCGACTCGCAATTGCTTGACCGTTTACCTCCCCAATTTTCGGGCAATTTTTCGTCGTCGCATGGTTTTGACGCGAAGCAATACGAGCTCCATTCGTGGACCCGGAACAAGAAGCTCAACTTGATCGCCGAACCGACGAACGTCGTTGAATGATTTTCTCGACCGGGGCTCGACTCCGTCTGCTTTTCTCGACGGATGTCGAGCGAAAAATCGGTCAATCCCTTGTAATAAGGGCTATAATGCTTGTCGACGGGGTCGTTTTTTCGGTCGAACTCCCGGAGATTTTCGTCGGTTAGGTTCGATTTTTTAGTTCTTTTCTTGATGTAACCGGCGAGTTTTCGGGATGCGACGGGTGATTCGGTTGTTTGAGTCGAAGCGTCGCGGCTGTGCACGTCGGCGGAGGAAATTGCCCGACTAATATCGGGAGCGGATGCCGATTGCCGGAATGCGGACGGCGGCGGCATTTCGGAGAAGTTGAGGTACCTCTCGGTTGTGTCGAAGGTTGGTTTGGGGACTATAAGGTTGTTGGATCGTAGCTGTTGAGTTGTACAATGTGAATTTTTGTTTTGGTAAAGATTCTGGGCGTGGTATCTTAAGGTCGTCTGAGGAATACTATGTTCGAACGTGTTTGTTGATCCATCCTATGCTATCAACATCGAGCTATAGACTTTCGAAGAGCACGCGACGAAACTAAAATTAAAGACCTTAAAATTAATAAAAATATTTCTTTTTTTTATTTTTAATAAAATATAAATAATTATTTAGCTATATCATTTTAAAATTCAATAAATATAAAATAATTTTTATATATAAATATTAATACAACATAATTATATAATAATTCTCTATTTATATTGGATGTGAGTTGTATATCTATATTTATGCATTTTAATATTAATAGGCCTTTTGTTGTTTTTATCCATAAATAATACTCCCTGTCCCGGTCAAGATGATCCTTTTATTCAAGGATACGATATTTTAGATAGCATAAATTAGTAAATTATAAATAATAAGTTATAATATTATTTTATATTTTTATATGAGTAGTGTTGTTGGTATTTTAAATATTTTAGAATTAAATTTTATATAATACAAATAAATAAAAAAGATAATTAATTTATTTATAATTAACTTAAAACTAATTTTATTAAAAATAAAAAGTTTTAAATATAAATAAAAATATTTATTTATCGAGGAAAGAGATAGAAATGAAAGGGTTAGAAATTTAATTAAATTGATTTATATTTGTTAAATAAATTTAAGAGGAATAAATTTACTAAAAATAGAAAGAGATCATCATTATATTTAATGAGACGGATAAAAAAGAAAAATCGGTCATATGTCGTGGAACGAAAGGAATATACATTTGGCAAATGAAGAATATCATACCAAATAATTTAAATATATTTTTTATTATATATTTTTCAATATTATATTTAGGGCTATGGATATTGTGTTGATTTAACCAATATATATACATAATACAATACATGCTAAATTATAATAGAACATAAGTTATATTATAAATATATTGAGATATGTATAAATATATATACTGACTACTGTGTAGCATATGCTTCATTCGGTCAAATCAACACCATGTTGTAGATTTGACGGAAGTCATCAGTTGATCCATAGTCTATATTTATTTATACATATGCCATAATTATTCACATTATCAAAAGTTTTTTCTCTACAATTTTTTTATTTTGGAGTGTGTTTGTTTTTAATTTTAATTTGAAGGAATTTTTTTTTTTTACATTTTAGTCCGTCCTATAATAAAGTACTTATTACGTTTTTCTAGTAACTGTACTATCTACTTAACCTTATAAAATATTCTTACAACTTACAATATATTACACATATGCCATTATCTTTATATCACACGTACTGATGAAGTTATTTTAGTTATTTCTATTTTATTCTTACTACATCCCAATATAATACTAGCTTATTCTATCATTATAATAAAATATCATTTTTGTAACAAAGTTTTTTCGTCCCTAAATCTATTTTTTTCGATACTAATGACATTACAGACGGATGAAATTATGTTAGTTATATGAACTTTAAGAACGGAATTCCGTTACAAATATAGTATTTGTTATTATTATTATTATTATTTTGTAGTGTATATGAATATTTATAGGAGTTTTTTTTTTTTTTAAATAAAAAGAGTTTCTTTTAGACTATTTTTAACATATAACAGCAATTGACTTGAGTTGATTTGCAGCCCAACCCATTAAACCCCATTTTCTCCGGTTGTTCTATTTTCATGGTTTGAATATTTCCTTGCAAATGGACAATAGTTGCAAATGATTTATTCAAAAAGTATACCACAATTCTGAATTAAAGAAAATTCAAATTCGAAAAACTTCCAAAAGTTCATCCACTTAAACTAATACATATATATATATTTATTTAAATTTCAAAAAATATACATGCACATGAAGCTATATATATATATATATATATATATAAGCAAAATTTATGGCGACCTTTTCAAAACGGTAAATAAAGTAAAAAATATATCTGAGTCTGCATTTTATCTCCTCTTTGAATCAAAAACCCTTCTTCACCATTGTGATTGATTCGCTCCCCAATTAGGGTTTTACTTTTTACTACTGTTAATTTTCAATTTCCAGAAAGAAAGAAAGTAAGAGATAAGCGATGAAATGGCAGCCTCCTGGTAACAAACCCTAACCCTAACCCTAATCCTCCATTGTTAAACCTTCCATTCTATTGTATTATCCTTACGTTTGATTTTCTGCTTCTCTGTGTTTTTTACAGGCGACCAAAGTCCAAATTGACTGCGGAGGTCCAGCTTCATGTCTGCGGATCACGTTTCAAATTGGACAAGGTAATATATATATATATATATATATATATGGGATTGGTTATGATGATGGCTGTGATTAATAAGAACACATCCTAATTAGTAGGTTGTAATGATATATATATATATATTATATGCTGAGATCACTGATTATATATATATATATATATATTTTTGATCGGAGAGATCTTGATTATATTTGATATGTAGATTGCCAGCTTTGGAGATTGCCCAAATTAGTACATGATATGAAAATATAAATAGAGAATACACATTGTATAAAGTATTAATATGTGTGTTAGTTCTATTTTATTTTTGTGTGCATTGAATTTCTATCTAATATGTTGTCCGATATATATTATTGTACTATTATATTGATTATGTTTACACGACAACAAAAAATCATTTTTGTAACAAAACTTTTTTGTCTTTAAATTTACTTTTTCCGTTACTAATGACATTAGAGACGGAATTAAGAATAGAATTACGTTAGCTACGTGAACTTTAGGGACGAAATTCTGTTACAAATATACATATATATATATATTTTTTAGTGTTAATCATCACTAAAACGTCACCATCGAATGTAAATCGTTTCCAAATAAAAATGCACTATATAAATATATATATATATATATATATAAACAATGTTGTGCTAATATATGATAAATGATGAGATCCATGGTAATATATTTTTATGTGTTGTATGTTTTTTTTGTATTGTATTATATTAGTACTTCCTCTTTAATCCAAACTTATTTCAATTTTTTTTTTTTTTTTTTTGAATTGCCATTGAAATTAATCATTGTTTTTCATTTTAGTAAAAAATTCCATTTTTTCTACTTTTACCTTATCAGAAACAAAAAAAAGAACCATAAAATGGGCATCATTTAAACGACGTGGAAGTAATATAGAAGTAATATACTGATGTCCTTTTACTCTGTTATTTAGTAAAAATAATTATTATTTAATAAAAATAATTTTAAATTAAAATAATAATTAATTAATATAATTAAAATTAAAAAAATTTTAAATTAAAAATTTTAAAATATAATTAAAGTGTATAATAAGTATATAATGAGATCAATGGTCATATGTTTTTGTATGGATGATTGTCTTGTTTGTTTGTTATGCAATGTATATATATATATGCTTGTGTTGTATATCGTATGTATTATTGCAAGCTCTGAAAATGGCGGCGGTTCTTACAGGAGCTCCTGGCCTCGAAATCGTCGAGGGTTTCAAAACTGCTCCAAAGGAATCCCCAAACGGATCTCTCGGAAGCTCTCCACGACATCCCCGCCGACCACCAATCCATGGAGATCCTCGGAAGATTCTGCCACGGATTCACCATCAACCTCTCGCCGGACAACATCGTCCGCGTCGCCTGCGTCGCTCACTACCTCGGCATGTCCGAATCCCACTGCTCCGACAACCTCCTCGCGGCGGCCACCGCCTTCTTCGACTCCCACATCCTCTCCAGCTGGACAAATTCCGTCAAAGCCCTCAAAGCCGCCGAGAACGTTCTAGAACACGCCGTCGATCTCGGCCTCGTCAGCTGCTGCGCCGATGCCGTTGTCCGAATGGCCGCCGCCAATCCTCGCCTCCTCGGAGAACCTATAATGTCTGGCGCCGACAACGAGAGTTCTTACCGGCCGAGCGCGCGGCGGAAGCTCTTCGATAGCGAGCGGGTGTCGGGGGACTTAGCCGAGCTCTCGCCGCGGCTCTACACGCCGATCGTCTGCGAAATGCGTAGCCGCGGCGTCCCCGACGAGTATGTTGCGGCGAGCGCGTGCGATTACGCTGATCGGTGGATTTTTCACGACAAAAAAATTGACGGTGATTCGAATTTTCTTCGGCGGGAAATAATCGAGGGTTTGGTGCGCATCGTCCCCGATCGGAAATCTCTCGTCCCGTCATCGTTTCTTTTCCGAATGCTGAGCCACGCGATCGTCCTCGACGCGGAGTGTCGACCCGCATTGGAGACGAGGATCGCGCGGCAATTGGACGAGGCGGGTCCCGAAGATCTATTAATTCTATGCCAAGAGTATAACAGAGCTAAAGTCGAAATCAGAACTACCAGAACTACTGATGATCAAGGGTACAACATAGTCGAAAACAGAACTAGTGATGATCAGTATAACACCGAGTGTATATGGAGGATATTGAGGAGCTTTTACCGCAACTACGCGGCAGACGATCGGCGCGGGCTAGTTGCGGTGTCGGAGCTAATCGATGGGTTTTTGGCGAAGATCGCCGGCAATGAGGAATTGACGGCGGAGACGTTTTCGGCGCTCGCCGACATGTCGGCAGCGGCGTTGTCGGGGACGCGTCGGACGTCGGACGGGCTATACGGCGCGATAAATACGTACCTTGACGCGCACCGGGATTTGTCAGAGTCGGAAAAGGAGGAGCTTTGCAAGGCGCTCGATTGCGACAAAATGTCGGACGCGGCGCGGGAGCACGCTGCACGGAACGAGCGGCTGCCGGTGCGGGTGGCGGTGCAGGTGTTGTTCGTTTCGCAGCTGCGGCTGCGGGAGGCGTTGCCGGAAAACAGCGGCGGCGGCGGCGGCGATGGTGGCGGAGTGAGGGAGGAGATGGAGAGGATAGAGAGTAAGGTGGAGAGGCTAGAGAGAGAGTGTGGAGTGATGAAGAGGGAGATTGAGAGTGAGGAGAGTAGTGAGAGAATGCTGATGAAGAAGAAGAAGAAGAATAAGTTTAGTATATGGAAAGCTGTGAAGAGGAAGTTGGGATGTGGAGGTTCTTCTACTGCTGCTTCTTACTCTTCAGCCATGGCGGATGAGTGTCACGTGAAGAAGAAGAACAAGTGTGTTCATCTAAGGTAGACAAAATTTTTATTATATATATATATATGGATATTGTTTGTGTTTTTTGTTGTTTGGTTTTCGATTTGGGACAAAGTTTGTATTTTGGAAGTGGTTTGTTTATGAATTTTGAAGGTGAGTTTAATTTTTTTTTTTTTTTTTTTTGGAGAATGTCAAATTTAAATAGTAAATAAATAATTCTTTAATTAATTATAATGTATACTTTGATATTTAAAATTTAAAAAGTTTAAATTTATAAATAATTTATCTATACAAAGATCATGATTCATCTATATATTTTTCATATTAATCATATATATATATATATATATATTATTTTTTATATTTAATCTTTTTTTAATCAACTTTTCAATAGAACTATTAAAAACTAAAAATTATATTACATATAATTCAAAAAATATTTTAAATATCAACAATAATATTTATATAAAAAATAATAAAATAATTTATTGTTAATAATTTATTAATATATACAATCTAAAATACTGTATTCTAACGTATTTTCATCCTTCTCTTTTAATTAAAATTTGTATCTAAAATTTTTGGGATTTGATGTTAAAAAAAAAATAAATTGTGTCGATAATATATAAAAAATAATTATATTAAATATTAATTTTAAAAAAATATATATATATATAGATATATATTGAAAATGTTGTCTAAAAAAAATTGTGCGCAAACAAAACGATTTGGTTCGTTGAAGAAATCCAACAGCTGATAGCAAAATCTATGTGCAAACAGACCCACCCAGCAGTCGCTGTTATCCCCAATTTTGGAATTTGTTTGATCTACGTTTTGTTCGAAGCCTATTCGACCAACGATTAAAAAACAAAGAAATTTCTCAACCTTTCGCATTCTCATCTCACAGAAATTGATTCAAACAGAAAGGAAAAGATCCCTTTTCGTGTGAGGTCACGTGGAATTGATCCGCAAAGCCGTTCGATCGCTCATATCCTCTGAAAAGATTCATTGCCATCGCAGATCCGTGCCTGACCCGGGAGAATTAGCTTTGTGGAGCTCCAAATCGATGGGACAAATTCTCGAAACATTCAAAGGTATCAATCACTTTTGTTTTTTGGAATCCAATTCTCCAGTATCCATCTCTATTTGGGAATTAGGGTTACCGAAATTTGAGTTTCCGTCTTTGAATTACATGAGAACGTTTGATTTGATGGATTCTGACTTTTGATGCACAAAAGATTGGTATGAACTGTGGGGCTGATGATTTGTTGTTTTGATGGAAATTCAAAAAGGAAATCATTGACCGTTGAAAGGTTATAGACCTTTATTCGTATGCGATTATGGCTGTTCATCTTTCCTTCTCTGCATATTTTGGAGTATAACTTGTAAATATTCAGTTCTAGGTTATGTCTTGTGATTGTAATGAACTAATTTGGATCAATTGGATGAATTTGGATTTGAATTTGAAGGTAGATTTTAAAGAAATATATTCGAATTACTTTTCGATTTGATATACTTTTAATCAAAATCGATTTTCGGATTGTAGGAGCTATTTGAAATGGCTGAACAAGAAGTATTTGAAACATTAGAATGTTCGAATATTGTAAATTCTTCGATTTGATTGAGTCATTTGAAATAGCTTTAACCCGAATACTTTCAACCAAACGGACCCTTAAATGATTTCTCAAACTATATCTTAGGATTGTTATTGTCGAATGATGTTTCGAACTTTAGGTAAAATTACATGAATGGACATTCTTCTTCGTCTATGAAGAGACATGATAACACATGACAGGGCATACATTTTGATCGAAACATAGTAAGATATAATAAGGGATTCATTAGTAGTTGTTTTTTCGACTCTAACTCGGTTTTAATGTTGGCCACACGATTGAATTTTTTGGGTTATTTTGAATATGTTAATTGGATTTAAGATCGTATGGATTTAGATTGTTGTATGTTACTGTTCGTTATGTTCGCCGTATTTGGAACTTTGTTTTGTGTTTTCGAAGTTCTTAGGCTGCTTCCATGTCTTCATATGCATATATATATATATATATATATAGCTCTATAGTAAGTGTGTTGTACATAAGTATATTATGTGCTGGAATCAATAGTAGTATATGTTGTATGAAACTATATCATACTACCTATGTCCGACTCTAAGGGTCTCATTTACTTTTGCTAGTTGATCTTTGAATATTAATTATTATATCAAAATTGTGTTTTATAATACTAATAAAAGAACATTTGAAAAAAAATTATATAAATATAAGAATATTTTTAATGTTAATACAATGACGCAAAAGGTATCTGTGACGGAGGGATGGAGTAATATTTATTAGTTAATATAAATAATGGATCGTATGCGGTAATATCATATAATATCTGTTAATGCACGATATGCTGTCAGTACTGTACTGAATTTTAACAGCTTTTGCGTATATATATACATATATATATATGTATGATATGTTTTTGTTTTATAGTGTTCGATTTTACATGTGTAGGGAAGGAATGGAAAGAAAGGCAAATCCAAGTGATCTCGGACAGAGTTTTCGACCGCGTCAAGAGCGACACCGACAGTGCTAATCTAACGTTCGAAGAGCTCTACATCGCCGTGCTACTCGTATACAAGTGAGAAAATCAAATATTCATCTTCGATCCATTTACAAATCATTACTTAAACACGAAAAATTTTTCTGTTTCTAAAAAATTCCACGGTCGTAGTGATCTCAACAAGCGATTGCCGGGCCCCCATTTTGACCCCCCGACAAAGGAGGAAATCAAGAATCTGATCCAGGTAATCAGAAAAAAATAAAAATTTATGCATTCGATCGTCGTCGATCGTGATTGCACGCTTATTTTGACGATCGAGCAGGAGTGCGACGTGAACCTCGACGGAGAACTCAACCGCGAAGAGTTTCGGAAGTTCATGCGCAGAATAACGAAGGACACGTTCGTGTCGGTGAGCCAGGGGCTGATCGTGGCGCTGGCGGTGGCTCCGACGGTGGCGTTGCTGACGAAACGATCGACGGAGAACGTCCCCGGGATCGGGAAGGTCGTGCAGAAACTGCCCAATTCGGTTTACGCGTCTCTTGTGACGGTGGCGATCGTCGCCGTCCAGCAAGGGGCGGAGAGATCGTAAGAGGGACGACGATGATCGTCTCAGATGATCAGTTATATATATAAAGATTGTGGGTTTGCATGGTTGTTGCTATGGTAATAAGAAAGAAAGAATTGTTCTTCTTCTTCTTCTTGCTCATGTTAAGATGTCCAGTGGTCGTTTGTAGTCTGTTTGTTTGGGATCTCTGTAATTAGGGATGATGTTAATATGCTTTTGTTGAATTGAATAAATAAATAAATAAATAAATACTTCTTCTGTTGGGGTACTTTATCGTATGTTGTGGGAGACTGGTATTTTAAATATAGAAATGAAATAAGTAAAAAATAAATTAATGTGTTAGGAAAAATTTATTATAAAATTAATAAGAAAATAATAGGCTAAATAGAAAATTGTAGTTTAGTGTACCGTTAAAGAATGAAAGGTGACATATATGTAATTTATGTACGACTCCTATTTTATTTTATTTTATGTTCAGACTGGACCAAATTAAAAATTTCTTAAAATTTAAATATTCGGATCATATACTAAAAATTACAACACATTTGAAATATATTAAAATGTTCATAGACTGTACACATAGTCACAAATATGACACATAACCTCACGGTCACAAGTCCAACCCCTACACCAGTAATCCCTTACGAAAACATTTTTCTATTTATTTTTATTTTTAAATAAATTGATCAAACTTATATTCACGAAAACAATAATTCAGGTGAAAATCTAACACCTTTGAAACCAACAAGTAAATTGTACTGTAAATTCTTACCATTTGAGCCATGAGATGCAAATGTGGTCATGTAGGAGAGAAATCAAGCTGACAATCATCATCGTCGTCGGCGCCGTTACCCGAAGAAGCCTCTGATGCCTTCTAAGCTTTCTCCAAGAGATACCCTGCCATCATCGAAAGAACTCGAATTAGCTACACATCGAACAACAAGAGAAATGAAACGAGAGAATAGCCTAAACGAAAAGTTGAAAGGAAAATTTATACGAATTGCAATAAAAATTACAACAAACTGGAAGTAATCAAGAACTATGACCCAAATACTGCTTTCATTTTATCTTAAATCTTAACCCAAACTCGGCTACCAGTAAAAATGAAACGAAAGCGTTACATCATTTTGTCGAAATCCAAGATCGAAACATCTATTCCTAACCATCAACATGAAAGCAAACACTCGATCATAAATTTCGCAACAGTGAGATTACTTAGGGTGTGTTTGTTTGGTGAATTTCCACCGATTTCTACTATTCACCAAATTTTTTCCCCTCCAAACACATTTATACTGTATTAAAAATCAATTTTACATTCAAAACATCACATCATACGACTATTCCAATTCAAAAGTTTTACTATTCAAATCCCAACTCAAAATCCAAACCACCGAACAAACACACCCTTGTTATAACAGCAGTTACCTCTGCATGCAGTACTTGTACTCTGAGTTTCGAGTGTAATCTTTCTCTCCTTCTTCCAACTACACAAGATACGAGCGCACAAAATACAGTGACATAAGCAGCAGGAATCACAGCCACCACAGCCATACAAGTTTGATGCCTTTCCAATACATGTATTGTAAACAAACACGCAACTGTCTTAAAAAATCAAGGGTTGTAATCGAATCAATAGCTGTTAATTTTAGCGTGGTCGGGTTTTATTCGAGACCAAGAGAATATCGTGTTGAGCAATAATACGAGTTAGGAAGTGTAGCTGTAGCGTGCATGCTCATATAAAGCTAAAACAATTTTAAACTCAATTTTGACAAGGGTTGAGGGGGCTATGCACCCTGGACAGGTTCCATGGGGCAGGGGCTGTCGAGATATTCTCGCTGGCCAATCAAAAGGCAGGGGTCAAGGGTGAGTCGACCCTTGTAGAGCTTCGGCAGTGCCCCAAAACCTAAATAAGTTGTTAAGGACACGTCTAAACGAAAATGCCTGTCTGTTTGAAGATAGGTGCATCCTTAACCACAAGAGCCACTAATATATACATTCTTGGTCATAATCTCAGTTTTAGACTCAATGTTCAATCAAAATTCTTGAATGCATAGTTGGATTATACCAAAGTTCAATTCATGTCACCCCATTAGGAACAAATTATAACTTATGTAAAGTATTCATTAAGCGATCCATTCGATTATCTAGCTTATTTGTTTGATTCTCTATCCATGTCTTCCAAAAATTCCTCAACATCAACTATAAAGTATAATATAACTCTATCCAATTTAATCTTACTCCACAATAATCACAAATGCACAGATTGACTAAGCTTTTGGAATTCCAATGGAGATTTAACCAATTGAACAGTTCAAGTATGAATTGAAAAGCATGGAGTCCACATAGGAATGACAATTATCCAGATCTAATTAATCTCTGTGTAGCTTTAGTATGTAGTTAAAATCTCACCGGATCACTCTCGTAGATGAGCTCATAACAAACCGGAGACAAGCATTGCAGAGCACAATTCTCCTTGGCTATGATGGAAGACTTGCATCGCTCACCCCATAATCCACTTCAAGTGGCAAAGACCATACATCAGCAGCCAAATTAACCACATAAAGAAGAAGAACAGCTACGAGATTACACTATATTGATTTGTTTCAACAAAATTCTTGAATAACTCATCGATTTGCACAACTAAATACCTCTCAATGTCCGCATAACAATCGTTTTTCTTCTGCCGAATCTCTTCCTCCTATTCGCAGGTAAATTAACAAATTACGAAACTCGATTTCTGCATTCTTCCTGATAATTGTAAAAAAATTACTACTCACCGATAATGGCACTCGAGATTTTGCCAGAACCTCTTCGCAACACAGTAAAAGAACTGCAGAAATGATAATCAAAATTGTTTTCCCCCAAATTCCGGAATCAACCATGTTTATTAAATCTTGCTTTGCCTCCCCGATCTACAACGCTCCCCGACGCGGCAGCGTCTGAGACGAGATTCCGATGGATAGATTTCAACGGAAAAGCTGATTTTGTATGAAACGCGAACTCTCTTCTTGTAGAACCGCACCTGAACTTGCCTTTAATTTTACCTCGCTTGTTCAGTTCTATATTTTCATTGTAAACATACTTTTATATTGAATTTTTTATTCGAATTTTAATTTAAATAATATTTAATTATGGCATTTTATAACTAGTTTGAATAGGATTATTAGTAAAACACAAACCAGACACACTCTCTTAGAAATTGACATTGGTTTCAATTATAAATTATTATTATTATTATTATTATTAATTACAGTCAATATAAAAAAAATTCATTCAATAAAAAAGTAATTTTTCCATCGTCTCACATATTTTGGGCGCATTACCGTAGATACATACTCTTTCCTTCTCAGAATTATATTCTTGATAGTTAGTAAAATGTATAGATAAAAGACATGTATTAGTGTAAAAAGTAATAGCAATTGTCTAATAAAAATGAACAAGTAAAGGTAGTTTTATGGTGATATGGTTATTTATGGAAATAAGACTGTTATTTTGGGACGGACAAAAATGATAAACAAGACTACTGTATTGGAATGGAGAGAGTATAAAATAGGAATTTAGGTAAACTATCATTAGTAAGTAATTAAAAAGTATATTAATAAAAATAATTATTGTTTGATAAAAATAATTATAGATTAAGATTAAAATAACTAAATAGTTTAATTAAAATTAAGAAAAATAATAATTTATAATATTTAAAATATGATTAAAATGTATAATTATTTTTCCAAAAATGAAAGGACAAATTACGTGGGATAGACGAAAATAGAAAATAGGGACAAATTATATGGGAAGGAGAGAGTACTACTTTTGTCCTTTTTTTCACATACATTTTTTATATTAATATTATATTTATTTATAGTTAAAAGAAATATTCTTATTAGTATTGAATAATAAAAAAAATAATGATATTTGTATAATATATTAAAAATGCTAAACTGCACAAAATCTACCTGTAGTTTTATGAAATTGTGACAAATCCCTGTAATTCTAAAACTGCTTCAAACTCTATCGTGTTTCCATAAACTCTGCGTCTAACTCCATCGGCTGTCTTATTTAACGGTATTTGACCTAAATGCGTCCAAATTGCGAATAAATTTTAGAATATAAATTTCTAAACCCCTAAAATTACAAATATATTAATTTTTCTTATATTTAACCTAAAAAATAATAAATATAGTAAAAAATAGTTATTTTTCCTCAGTGTCTAAAATCATATGAGAAATTCTTTGACAAGATATAAATATAATGTCAACAAATGATTTATTCCTTTTACTTTTAAACTGTTTATGTGCCAAAACTTCAACAATCGTTTACCTAATTTTGATTATAGTTTCTTACCAAAGATTTAGAATCATCATAGCCAAGTTTTTCTTAAAATAAAATAAAGCAATTCTTAAATAAATTAAACAAATATATGTTAATACATGATTAGACCTACAATAACACATTAATCTCAGAAATACTTGTTTGTTTGGGGGTTTTAGATTTTGAGTTGAGATTTGAATAGTAAAAATTTTGAATTTGAATAGTTGTATGATGTGGTATAAATAGGTGTTGATGTGATGTTTTGAATATAAAATTGATTTTTAGTATAATATAAAAAATGAAAAATAAATGTTTGATTTAATATTTTTGAGGGGAAAAAATCGGATGAATAGTGGATTTAAAATCCAATCCCCAAAACAACCACACCCTAATAGAAGACAACAATGTTATCCCAATATGAGTAGGATTTTAAGTTGAGAAGAATTGTTCTCCAAATTTTCTAGCCCTTTAGCCACTATATCTCTAATAAAGTGCAATTTACATCAATATGTTTCATTCGAGTATGAAATACATGATTCTCGTATAATTGTATATCAGATTGACTATCCAAAAATAGCAACAATATTGTGCAAATAGAGTATTTTTATACTCCCTTCATCCCACAACTATAGTTTGGGTTGTGTTCGGTACGAAATTTAAGGAATATTGCTATTATATTGGTAGTGAGTAAAAAGTACGGATAAAATTTTTTTTTCCCTTGTGAGTGTATTATTGTAAAAAGTAGTGACAATTGTGTAATAATAATGAAAAAGTAAAGATAGTTTTATAGTGATACGATTGTTTATTGAAATGAGACTATTGTTTTGAGAGTGACAAAAATGGTAAAATTAGGACCGAGGGAGTATAACATAACCTTACGCCACAGAGATTCTCTTAAAGCTTTAGTGACAATACTACAATATGTTGAATTTGAGATTTCTAACTTATATATGACACACATAAAGTGAAAATATAAGATTAGTAGATTTTCTATAGTTTCTATCATTTGTATAATTTCAATCTACATAATATTCTAATTTAATTTCATTATAGCCAGTAAGTATCTAAAGAGCCGTTGTAGAGCATATATTTATGATTAAAAAAATAGACTAAAATAAAAAAATTGTAAAAAAGTATAACATATTACAAAAATAAATATTCGATCTGAAATTTGTATTTTTTTTTCAATCCAGTCCAATTGAACCATACTGAAAATAAGATATTTGCAATTTCGTCTAATCAAGTTAAATTGAAGTAAAAAAGTATTTCATTAATTTTTAAAAAAATAAAATCAATTTTCCACATCATCGCCGCCTATTGACCATATCACATGCCAACTCAGCTCCGACATTGTCCAAATCCACAACAGCATTTCCGCATAGGTGCACATGAGTTTCACGTGTTTTTCTCCCATGCCGGAAGAAAAAAATAAGGACATGGACATATTGTCCTACGCTGTGTAACCGATTTAATGTGTCTAAAAATAATAATTTTCTTTACCTATAGGCAGAATTTACAATTTTGTTTTATTTTTTAGTCATGTGTTGCAATTTTATCTTATTTTTAAAAAATTTCTTTACTGAATTTTTTTTTTATTTTTTTAATTATTTACGTAGGAATTAAATTTTATTTTTGGCCGAATTGTTAATTTTGACATGTGATAATTGATCCAAATCCAAGTGTAAGAATCGAGCCAATTTTGTAAGGTCCAACTAGTCTGGCTGATCCACTTGCGAGATTAATCCTCATCCGTCCGATGAAGGGTTTTGTTTTGTTACCCATTGATTCCGTTCTAATATATATATATATATATATGCGCAGCCATTATTCTCATCTCTCATTCTCTGTGAAGGTTTATTCTCTCGTTCTTCTTCATCTCTGTAAGGTAAGTCCGTCCTTGGATTCTGTATTTTGTGAAGTTTGAGAACTGGTGATGTTGTTTCCGGTGACGATCAGGCTGACTGTGTCTCGTTGCTCCCTTTGTTTGACTGTCCTTTGAGGAGTGGTGTGTTCTTGTCATCGTAGGTGAAATAAATTTAGGGTTTGTCTTACATCTGTAGATTGATAGTTGCAAGAGGATAAGAACTAGCAAGTTGTTTGGTCACATCTTTGGTGTCAGTTCTTGTCATCTTGTATTCGAATGTCTGTGAGCCAGCGGGTGTATTAGGGGCTGAGCCGCTGTACACTTTGTTTTTAACAAAATGGTTTTGATTTTTAATGAATATTTAGTTACTATTTTACACAATTTTTTTTTTTTTTTGTTCGATTTTGTGTGGTTTTCATTGTTAAAATCGATTCATTGGTCTATATTGTCTTTACAATAACATTTTAAAGTTGGAAGGTTTAATTTTGGCGGATTGAACTATGGCACGCATAAAGAAATAAATCCTCGTCTCCAGAAAGTCCCCCCTTTGTTGACATTGAAAATATGTTGTTTGAATTTTTCGGAATTGGTAGAACCTGCTAGCATATTTTGTCAAGAGTGTTTGAGATTTGATCAAATACTTATACTTAGATCATAATTTCAAATATACAAAGACATAATAAAATCTCCGGACAATTAGATCTTATTCTTTACATTCAATAAGATTACCTGAGGACTTGAGCCTGGGTTTCTTAATTAGCATTCTCGGAAGCTGACTCACCCACAGATGTTGGGGTGGAGGATGCAGCCGGTGCCATTGCCTCGGGAGCCTTTCTGGAGATAGGTTTTATTTCTTTATGCATGCCATAGTTCAATCCGTAAAATTAAACCTTCCAACTTTGAAATATTATTGTAATCACAATATAGACCAATAAATCGATTTTAACAATCAAATCCACACAAAATCAATCGAAAAAATGTAGTGTAAAATAGTAAACTAAATATTCATTAAAAATAAAAACCACTTTGAGTTAACAAAGTGTATAGTGGCTCAACCCCTAATAACCCACTCAAAGACGATTCGAACACAAGGTGACAAGAACCGACAAAAGATGCGACCAAAGAACTTGTTAGCTCCTATCCTCTTGCAACTATCGATATACAACTGTTCAAAGACAAACCCTAGATTTATTTGACTTAGAATGGACATGAACACACACTCACAAAATCACTCAAACATAGTCACAAAGGGACAAAGGAAACACGGTCAGTCTGCTCGTCACTGGTTCTCAAACTTCAAAATACCGAAGGCGTGAACCGAGAGGACTTACAGAGCGGAAGAAGAATGAGAGAATAACCGTGGAGAGAGAATGAGAGATAACAAAGAATATATGAATGAGTAATGGTTGCACATATACAACAAATATTTAAACATGTTTAAGATTAAAAAAAAAAAATGATATATGTACTAGACCATAGAATACCCACCAATGATAAAACCACATGGAAAGTTCTTTAGCAAATTTTTTATTGAACTCAAAAATATCATGAGTGATTGAATAGATGGTACAAAAAGGTTCTATACCAAACCATTTGGTAGTCTTGAGATGCATGGTCGTTTCAGAGAAAGTTAACTAAAAATGTTTTTTTAGAGAATAAAAAGGACCATTTATGTTACTTTTTTAATGACACCTTGGGATTAAGTGACACAGTCCAGATTATGAGAATATTTCACATGAATGAAAAATTTGTGGAGTGAAATGTTTTAAGTATCAAGGTTAGGCAAAGTAACATGTCCAATACTTAATTTATTTATTTATTTTTTTCTAAAGTAAGTTGAATGAGTTGGTTTCAAAGTGGGAATGGGGAGAATTGGGGTTTGCTCATGACTTGAGTTTGGATATAGTTTAAGTTCGGTTAGCTCAACGTTATTTTCTTCGCTTTAATAGTTTGAGCGAAAGGCTCAACATATCTAAATCATTCAAAACAACACTCGTTTATCTCATATTTAGCACGTAATATAATCTAGTATAATGACATAACAATATATAATTTTCAAAACGTGCAAGTGTTGAACATGGAGGGCATAGTGTTTCGTGAAGCTGATGATGTCCATTCATTTCTCAATGTTTATGAACTAGGGGAAGAATGGCCGTCCGCTTGGACAACATCCAAATTAACACTTGGAATAAGAAGCACATAGCAATTCTAGTAATAGTATTTTCAAAATAAAACATAATTCTCTGATGTGTAAGAATTGAACCGATCTCCAGCTTCATTCAACTGGTAAAAATGTGTGTTTATTTCATCATAAATATAATTACAGGCTGTTCAATATATTGAACTAATCAAACCAGCTAAACAAATCAGCTAATAAATAACAACTAATCGAACAAGCTATCAACTTGCCAAACATACCCTAAGTTCACCAAGAACTCAGCTATATCACTCTCATTTACAACAAGTTATCAGAGTGCCAATTTTTCACTCCTCAATGCTTTCACTTCTTCGTAGAAGATGTGCTGCCCAACTGAATTCTGCTATGGTGAAACTCTTCAGTTTCCATAAAAAGAATCTGAAGCACCCCCCAGACTTACGTGTGGTTTGATTTATCTCTCTCATCCTCGTCGTAGGACGAGCAAGAAAGTAGGATCCGCAATTGAAGGAAAGAGAATGTGAAAAAAGACAAACTTTTAGGATGAGCAGGCTAAATGTATTTATTTCAGAGTAGTATTTGAAAAATATAGATAATAGAACTACACATGAGAAAGAAGAAAGAGACACAATACAAAATAATACCGTGATAAACAACCTTCTGCCACAATCAATGGCACGACGAATGAAAATTGTTTAAATCAAATACTCCCTTGACACACTAATGGAAAAAGAACTCTTCTAGTTTTTTTTTGATGTATAGATAATATTTACGTAGAAACTTTAGTCACTAAATAGAAATTCACAACATCATTTGCTGAATATGGCCATTTTAGTTTCGTTGGGGCTTGAATTTTGAGTTTGAGTTTTGAATGATAAAAAAAATTGGATTGAAGTAGTTTTATGATGAGATATAAATTGATATTGATTTGATGCTTTTAAATGTAAAAATGATCTTTTAGTATAATATAAACAATAAAAAATAGGTATTTGATTTCAAAAAACGAACTAACCTGTATAGGAGTTGCAACAATCATGGGACCTTCTACTCTACCACTGAATATATTTCCACCGGGACAAAGGTTGTACTCATCCTTACGTTTTTGCCACTTAGAATCCCATCTTTAAATGGAACAAATGTACCGACCATTGAAACAATTTCAAACTGACCTTACAAAAAATGAAAACTATTATAAACAAGGCATTGATTAGATAAATAAAATAAATTAATAAAAATCTGATAAAACACAAGTAAACAAACTAAAAGGTAACCTCAAATCAAAGAAGAATGAAAACACTATAGATGTCAGTAAATTCAGAAACCTCGTATATTGTGTGTTCGCCATGTTGTGCATGATGGCATATTGTGGTGAGTGACAAGGTCCCACTAGTTGCATTCACGAAAACAACCCCAGGCTCTATTGTCGCAACTTTCATTATTTTTTTTAAAATATCCTGAAAAATATACCAATATGTTCAGTACATTATAACTAGAAGTAATAGGAGTGATCTCTCATCAAGGTAAATAAAGTATAGATTAACAACTATGGAAAGACAAATGTATGAGAAGATTAATCATCATCAACATAAATAATCAATGTAGTTCCTTTATAGAGCTACATACTAAATTACGAGCATAGCGATTAATCATAGTAGGATTTGAAAATTACAGAGAAGAAAGAACAAAGTACACATGAGAAACAAGATAGAGACATAACACGGTCACATACAGTGACAAACACACTCCCGCCACAATCAATGGCACACTTGATCAATGAAAATTGTTTTCAATTAAATATTCCCTTGACATACTAATGGCTAAGCACTCTATAATGAATAATTGGATGTATACATATTATTTATTTTTAAGTAGCAACTTTAGTCACTAAATAGAAATCCACAACATCTTTTGTTAAACTTGGTCATTTTTTATGCTTCTACACTAATTGTTGAATCATTAAATAATTTTATAACAAATTTAGTGATACCAATCCAAGACCTCAGAAATGAACTAACCTGTACAGGAGTTGCAGCAATCATGGGACCTTCTACTCTATCACTGAATAGATTTCCGTTAGGATAAAGTAAGGTTGTACTCATCCTTCCCTTTTTGCCTCTTAGAATCCCATATTTAAATTGAACAAATGAACCGACCATTGAAACAATGTCAAACAGACCCTACACAAAAAGAAGATTTTTTAAACAAGGCATTAAATAAAACACACAAGTAAACAAACCATAAGGTAACCTCCAATCAAACAAGAGTGAAAAATCAATATAGATGTCAGTAAGTTAAGAAACCTTGTATATTGTGGGTTCGTAATTTTGCACAGGAAGGCAGATTGTGGCGCATGATAAGGTCTCACTGGTTGCTTTAACATAAACAACCCCAGGTTCTGTTATCATAACATTCCTTATTTTTCTTAGTATATCCTGAAAAATATGTGAATAAGTTCAGTACATTACAAGTGGAAGTGATAGGAGCTATCATCAAGGTAAAGAAAGTATAGTTGAATGTCTATGGAAAGACAAATATATGACAAAGATTAATCATCATCAACGTAAATATTCAATGTAATTCATTTATATAGAAACATACTAAATTACGAGCATAGCGATTAATGACAAGTACAATGGTCTACACCTTGACGATGCCTGGCGTATCATTAGATGATACACATATCAATGTTTATGATGCAGGTAAATTATACAAAGTTGAAGAAAGCATTTAGTACTCATGCAATTGTCAATAGTTTGCATAAGAGAAATTATCATTATATTTAACCTCTTCTTCGTTGACAGTGAGAATATGCTGTTTGAATCTTTCAAAATTGGTAGAGCCTACAAGCACAATTGGTAAAGAGTGTTTAAGGTTCTATCAAATTCATATACTTAGATCAAAATTTCAAAAATGCAAAGACATAATAAAAATCTTTAGAAGATTAGATCTTATCCTTTACATTCAATTATATTACCCGAGGAGTTGGGCCTTAGTTTCCTAGCACGTTGGCACATGGACCCACCCACAGTTGTTGGGGTGGAGGATGCAGCCGGGGCCATTGCCTCGGGAGCCTTTTTGGAGATAAGGTTTTATTTCTTTATGCGTGCCATAGTTCAATCCGCAAAATTATACCTTCCAATTTTAAAAAATTGATGTAATGACAATAAGAACACATAAATCGATTTTACCAATGAAGACCACACAAAAGTAAATGAAAAAAAATGTCATGTAACATAGTAAACTAATATTCATTAAAAGTCAAAAAAAACTTTGAGTTAACAAAGTGTATAGTGGCTCACCCCCTACTACATCCTCTTAAAGACAATTTGAACAATAGATGACAAGAACCGACACCCAAAGAACTCGCTGGCTCCTATCCTCTCGCAAATGCCGATCTACTTTCGAAGACAAACCCTAGATTTATTTGTATTGTGACGGATTAGGATTTATGATCGTATAACAAACAAAAAAATATAAAGAAGATACAAATTTATTCACGGGCAGAAACGGAGAACAAATTTTGTATCTCTAAGCTTATTCAAATAAACTCAGCGAAGTGACAAACTAGATTCAAAATATATCTAACAATTTGACTTGGACAAGAGTATACATTCACAAAATCAGTCAAACAAAGGGATGAAGGAGACAAGATCAGTCTCCTCGTCACCGGAAACAATATCAGTCTCCTATCTCAAGCTTCACAAAATACGGAAGCCAAGAACTGAGAGGACATACCTTAGACAGAGGATTAGGAGGAAGAAGAATGAGAGAATAACCTTGAGAGAGAATGAGATATGATAGAGAAGATTTGGATGAGTATTGGCTGAGCTTATACAATATACATATATATATATATATATTAGATCAGAATCAACAGGTCACAGAAAATCCCTCCATCGGACGGATGTGGATTAATCTCGAACGGAAGCAAAAATTGTCTCGGTTCTTATGCTTGGCCTTTAATTTGATCAATTTGGGCCTCAAATTTCACATGTGGAAATTAACAGTCCTCATCTTAGTTTTTGGCCGTACAATTTCATTGGGTATTTAATAAAATTAAATTCCTGCGTATATAAAATAAAATAGTTTCCAATATTATTAGGATAAAATTGGGAAGGAATTTTCTCCAATTTTATTCAATTCTTTATCAACTATATCTTTAATGAAATGAAAATGTACATTAATGTGTGTTTAGTTTGGTCATGAAACACAATATTCTTACACAATTACATACCATATCTACTATCCAAAAAATAGTAATGAAATCATGCAAATAATTGTTTAGGAGATTAAGCCTTTGATCGAAAGTTTTTTGGAGATTTAAAAAATATATTTAAGAGAAGATATAAAAAATGACATATGTTGAAAAATGAAAATAAGTATTGTGTCGTGTAATAACTCTGAAAACCTCATCAAAATTAAAAAAGAAAATCTGTTTGACTGTTGAGTGGCAAGGTCGAACTCTAGGATTATTCGAATATGTTATGTTCAAGTAAACAAAATTGCAATGAGTTAACGCAATCGAATGACTGAACAATAAGCCAGCTATTAAATTAGAATTAAATTGGATTAAACAATGGATAGAAATGATGGTGAAGCCTAAGCGAGTGTATAACGATGGAAAGGACGGAGTGTGGTGTTTATGCCAGAGATCTGTTGCAATGAATGATGGCCATAATATTCTAAAGGAAATCTGCGAGGTGGTTTTACTATGTTAGCAGAAATCTATGTATAATTGTGAGGTGGTTCAGAGGAATAAATGTTATCACACTTGATCAATATCCAGGGGATTTTGAATTAGTACGAAATAGTACAACTTTGAAATTCATCTTCATTAATCTTTCTATACAAATTTCAAATCCGAGTTGAATTCAACCAATATATCCGTTTCTAGACCACAGAATATCCACTAATGATGAAATGTGACACCCGGTCCGCAAGCCATGCGAAGCTGCCCTGCAGATCAACATAGAGTCCTTCCAACGCACTTCTGTCTTCACTCATGCGTCTCTGGGAGAGTTCCTAGGGGGTCAGCCATCCTCAAATTACTCTACAGAAAACACGTTTTAATCTAGAGTTCTTTCAGTAGGGTTTCCGAAAAAGAATGTGCATATTATTGATACAAATAGTCTATTCAATCCATTTAAACTATATTCAACCTTGGATGGCCTGAACTCAGGCTTATCCATGGGAGTTGGCCTAGCACCAGCCCAACCCCGGGGGTATTACATAAAACCACGTGGGGAATTCTTTGACAAGATTTGTATTAAATGTAAGAAAATCATGAGTGATTGAATGGATGGTACAAAAAGGTTCTATATCAAATTATCCGGAAATCTTTGAGATGTGTGGTCGTTTGAGATAATATGGACTAAAAGGTTTTTGTAGAGAATAAAAATGACCAGTCATGTTAATGACATACTTTTCAACGACACCTTGGGATTAAGTTTCATCACTTGGATTATGAGCAATTTCCATATGGAAGAAAAATTGAAGTGAAATGCTTCAAAGTGGAATAGGGAGAATTGGGCTTTTGTGATGACTTGAGTTTGGAAATAGTTTGAATTTGGTGAGCTTAAACATTCAAAACAACACTCGTTTATCTCATATTTAGCACCTCATCTAATATAGTGACATACCGATATGTAATTTTCAAAATATTCAAGTATAGAGAACATGAAGGGCATTGTGTTTCGTGAAGCTAATGATGTCCAATCATTTCTCAATGTTTATGAACTGGAGGAAGAATGGTCGTCTGCTTGGAGAACATCCAACTTAACATTTGGAATAAGAAGCACACAGCAGTTCTATTAAGAGTATTTTCAAAAGAAAAGATAATTATCAGATGTGTAAGAATTGTTCCGATCTCCAGCTTCATTCAGCTGGTAAAAAAAATGTGTGTTTACTTCATCATAAACACGATTACAAGCTTTAGTACCTATTAAATCTGGTCATGTACTGAGTCAAAACAATATCAATTGGGTTTTTTTGTAATTCCGGGATGCCAGCCTTGCATAATGGTGAGGGGAGCTGTCCTGGTGGTGCTGGTGCAATGCCAGGACGCCAAGGTGCCATGAACACCTTAATTATAATGCTTTGTAATAAAAGTAAGATTATGTTCTTTTATGGGTTTTAAGGTGTATGTTTAAGATTCTTTTTTCTCTTCAAAATTTTTCAAATCAAATAATTACTTTTACTTTTTATATTATAGCACAAATTTATTTTACATTCAAAATATATACTACAAATTTATTTTACATTCAAAATATCACATCAATATCACTTATATCACGTTAAACAACTATTGAAATTCAACTTTTTACTATTGAAAAATCCGATCCCAAAAATACAAAGCCACAAACAAACACACCCTAAAATACTAATACTACATATTGTTGATGATCACCGCAAAATACAAATTAAGATGCTAGAACATGGGCATCATATACAACCAACAACAACCTCCTCTATAGAATAAATATACACCGAACATATTCAGTTTACCAGCACATATACACTTCATTTATGGACAATTGAACTATGCTTTGAAGCACCACCGAGATTTTTATGTGGGGTGATAAGAGGATTTGCAATCGATGGATTCACAAACGATCTGCTTCTCTCAAAACTCATCCTCTCCGTGGGGTGAGCAAGAAAATACGATCTGCAATTGAAGGAAGGAGAATGTGATAAAAACATACTTCTGCAATGAGTAAAAAGTAAGAGAAAGAGACACCGCGCAATCATATACAGAGATAAACAAACTCCCGATGCAATTAATGGAACACTTGATGAATTAAATTTGTTTTCAATCAAATAATACCTTGTCACACTAATGGCTAAGCCAAATATAAGCATGCTATTCTAATTTATCAAATTATTAGATGTATAGTTATTAGTTACTTAGCAACTTTAGTCGTTAAATTGAAATTGACATGTTTTGCTTACTTTGGGCATTCTAATTCAGCTACTGTAATTCCTGAATCAGTAATTAATTTGATCACATATTAGGTGATGCTAACCGAGAACCTCCTTTCGAGAAAGGAACTAACCTGTACAGGAGATGCAGCGATCAAGGGTCCTTCGACAATACCCCCAAGTGTAGTTCCATCAGGCCGAAGTAAGGCTGTACTCAACCTTCCATCATTGCCACTTTGAAGTCCACCTCTACATGGAACAAAGGAACCGACCATTGAAAGAATTTGAAACGGACCCTACACACAGGCACACACAAACACACACACACACACAAAAATTATAAATAAGGATAGATGAGCAACAATGGAAACATGCTCCTAATAAAAAAGGTACCAATAATTATTACTTGAAGAATAAATCTTTGATTATGGTTAAAAGAACGTAAAATTCATAGCATCACATGGAATTGGCCGTATAACTGATAAAACATCAAATTCATTGATTAGTGTTATTCCAAAATTAAATATAATAGAAACCATTAAAATAGTTAAAATCAAGGACAAGTAGTTGAATAAAATGCCAATTGAAATGAAACATTTTCTTAAAGAGCGCACACGGATGAAAAAAATTACAGAAGCACGTAGATAAACACAAAAATAATAAATAAAATCAAAGAAAGAACAATTAATCAAAACAAAGATAACCTCCTAAACAAGAACGAAAAGTCAATATAGATATAAGTAATTTAGGAAACCTCATATACTCTGGGTTCGCCATCTTGCGCAGGGAGGCGGATTGTGGCGCATGATAAGGTCCCAGTGGTTGTTATTATGAAAACAATCCCTGCTTCAGTGGTAGTAACATCCAATATTTTTCTTAATACATCCTGAAAAATATGTCAATAAGTTCATTACATTTCATGTAGAAGTGATAGGAAAGAGGTATTGTTTAACAGCTACGGAAAGAAAACTATATGATGGAGCATTATCATCAAAGCAAATAATCAATGTAGTTCATTTATGTAGCTACTTATGAAAATATGAGCATAGCGATTTATGGGAAGTGCAATGATCTACACCACAATGGGTGGAATAACATTATGTGATACACATAAATGCTTATAATACAAGCAAATCACACAAAATCAGATAAAAACACTTAAAACACATGGAATCTCAAGATTTGGTATATGACAAATAATAAGTATGTTGAAATATATAACCTCTCCTCCGTTGACTGTGAGAATTTTTATTTTGAAGTTTTCCGAATTGGAAGAACCTGCAAGCACAATTTGCATACTTAGATCACAATTTTAAAGATACAAAGAGATAATAAAATTCTCTGGAAAATTAGATCTTATGATTTCCATTGAATAATATTAATTACCAGAGGAGTTGGGCCCGGCAGCAGGGTGGGAGGTTGACCCACCCACAGCCGCTGGGGTGGAATACGCAGCCGGCGCCATTGCCTCTAGAGCCTTTTCTGGAGACGAGGTTTTATTTCTTTATGCGTGCTATAGTTCAATCTGAAAAATCAAACCTTCCAACATTGAAAAGTTACTGTAATGACAATATAGACCGATAAACCGATTTTAACAATGAAAACCACACGGAATCAAATGAAAAAAATGTAATGTAACTCAGCCCCTGATAAACCCACTTACAAACAACTTCAACACAGGATGACAAGAATCTACACCTAAAGATGCAACCAAATAACTCGATAGCCCTTATCCTCTCTCAACTATCGATCAACAGCTATTTCGAAGACAGACCTTAGATTTATTTGACTAAGAGTGGACAAGAACACATCACTCACAAAATCACTCAAAGAACACTAAAAAAGAGGGATGAATGAGACACGATCAGTCTGCTCGTCACAGGAAACAAGATCACCAATTCTCAAACTTCACAAGAACCGAGTGAACTTACCTTACTGAGAAGATTAAAGAGAAAGGGAGAAGATATGAATGGGAAAATAACATAAGATATAAATAAGTAATGGCTGCGCATGTACAACGTATATTAGATATATTAGATCTGAATCAATGGCTTGTATGGTTCGTCACCTTGAACACCTTCCCGTAGGCCTATAATTTCCTTGGCTCTCACACGGAAGCACAAAATATGGAAAGAAAGAAAAAGAAGCACAAGGTTCACTTAACTTAGTGTGAGGTGTGTATTTCTCTCAAACTCGGGTAGTTTACAAATGAGGATGACACCTCTATATATAGAGACTCTACAATGGGCTGGGCCTAACACATGTTAAAGTATATCCGGATAAGTTCTATCTATATAAATATGGATAAGGATAAAATCTGTCTATTTGGATAGACATCAACTTGGTCAAGGGGCAATCCTGGCATTCCTGGAATATTCTGGAATGTTCCGGGAGGTTACTATTAGTCCCTTCATTCTCGATAGCCTTCTGATTAGTACTTAGCTCCATGTTGGTCACGAAAAAAACCTCCATCAGACGGATGTGGATCAATATCAGACGTGGATCAGCTAGACAAGTAGGGCCTTAGAAAATTAGCTTGGTTCTTACACTTGGGCTTCGGATAAATTTGGGCCTCAAATATCACATGTCGAAATTTACCGTACTCCCCCTAATTTCTTGTCTTAAAATTTCATTGAGTGTTCAGGGTGTTCATGAAGTGAAAATTCATGAAATTCAAGATTCTTACACAATTGAATACCGGATCTACTATTCAAAAAATAGTAACAAAATTATGGAGATAACTGATTTCGGGGATTAAGCCCTTGATGAAAAGGTTTTGCAAGATTTTTAAAATATATTTAAGATAAAGTATAAAATATAATATATGTATAAAAATAAAAATAAATATCATAGGTCTGTCTATAGTAACTCTAAAAACATCGTCAAAGTTAAAAAATTTCTTTGACTTGTGCAGAAAATAAGAATTTGAAATGTTTGCTTAAAAAAAGTACAATGAATTAATACAATCAAAGGGCTGAAAAGTAATCTAGCTTCTAAAACATAATTTAATCCAACTTTAAAAATAATAAAATATGTCTAACGGGGTAGAAATTGGATGAAACAATGGATAGAAGTGATTTTGAAGTGTAAGCGAGTTTTTAAGTGATAGAGAGGACAAGTCAAGGTGTTTATGTGTTTCCTATGACTCATGATTGGTATTTGACATACGGGATTACAACGAAACTTTACATCCATAACCAATAATATTATTTCTAAGTGAAGCCATTGTCACCAGACCAATAAGCATACACATATGTCTTATTAATCATTATCAATTTGTTTAACTAGTGGCCTATCCCTTTGATCTTTCTCTTTAATTGAGGTTAAATTCAATTCATAACTAAACAGGTAGACAATGCTTTGTTATACATAATTATTATTATAAAAAAATACTATAAAGTTCTCAAATCAAGAAAATAAGATAAAATCAACAAAATAAATTTCGAGTAAAAGAGAAATAAACATGCAGATAAACCTTACATACAAATAACCTTTACTACTGACCGACGGCGGCCAGTGATGGTGGGTGGAGACCGAGGCAAGTAGGATGAGAAGGGAAAAAAGAAATGTAGCGGCAACCTAGGTTTTTGGGGGAGGGTTAAATTTAAGTCTGGTAATGTACTGAGTCAAAACAATTCATATTGGGTTTTGTGATGCCAAGATGCCAGCCTTGCAAAACGGTGAGGCGAGCTGTCCTGGTGCTACCGGTGCACTGCCAGGACACCAAGGTGCCAGAAAAACCATGATTATAATGCTGTAAAGTAAAACTAAAATTTAAATAATATATATTGCTGATGATCACCACAAAATACAAAATAACATGCTACAATATGTGCATAATATACAACAAACAACATCTTCTACAGAATTAATATCAAGACAACATATTCAGTTTACAAGCACCATATACAGTTCCATTTATGAAGAATCGGACTCTGCATGTGGTCTCCTCTACTTCTCTCATGATTCACCCTCGTCATGGGGCGAGCAGCCAAGAATGATCTGAAATTGAAGGAAAGAATGTCATAAAAGACATAATTCTGGGATAAACCGACTAGATATATTTATTTTGGAGTCCGATTTCACAAACACATAGAAGAGAGATCAGAACAGCACATGAGAAAGAAGAAAAAGAAAGAGATACAACACTATTGCATACAGTGGAACACTTGATGAATAAAAAATCTTTTCAATCAAATATTAACTTGTCAAAATAGTGGATTAGTAATTAATTTTATCACATATTTAGTGGTGCCAATCGCAAACCTTCTTTCAAGAAAGGAACTAACCTGTGCATAAGATGCAGCGATAATAGGTCCTGCTACGATACCGCCAAACCCAGTTCCATCTGGCCGAAGTAAGGCTGTACTCAGCTTTCCATCATTGCCACTTTCAAGTCCACCTCTAGATAGAACAAAGGAACCGACCATTGAAAGAATTTGAAACGGACCCTATACACACAGGCAAACACACACACACACACAAAAATTATATAAATAAGGATAGATGACCAACTAGAGAAACATGCTCCTAATCAAAAGGTACCGATATTTATTACTTGAAGATTAAATATTTAATTATACTTAAAAAAAGTGCAATTCATAGCATCGCATTGAATTGGCCATATAATCGATAAAACATCCAATTCAATGATTAGTGTCATTTCCAAATTGAATATAAGTGCAACCATAACATGGTTAACATCGAAGGCAAGTTGTTGAATAAAATGTCATTTAAATGAAACATTTTACGTAAGAGTGCGGATGGATGAAAAAATATTATAGAAGCACGCAAATAAACACAAAAATAATTAAATAAACAAAATCCGAGAAAGAACAAGTAAACAAACAAAAGGTACCCTCGTAGCAAACTAGAATGAAAAGTCAATATAGATGTAAGTAATTTAGGAAACCTCGTATATTCTGGGTTCACCGTGTTCCGCAGGTAGTCGGATTGTGGCGTGGGATAATGTCCCAGTGATTGTTATTACGAAAACAATCCCAGGTCCGGTGGTAGTAGCATCGACAATTTTTGCGAATAGATTTTGAAAAATATGCCAATAAGTTCAGCACATTACAAGTGGAAAGTGGTATGAATAAAACAAGCTCTTATCAAGGTAAATAAAGTATTGTTTAACTGCCATGGAAAGATAAATATGCGAAGAAGCATCATCATCAAAGCAAACAATCAATGCAGTTGATTTATGTAGCTACATACTAAATTACGAGTATAGGAATTTATGGCAAGTGCAATGATCTATACCTTCACGGCGTGTGGCTTAACATTACACGGTACACGTATAAATGCTTGTTGTGCAAGCAAATCATTCAAAGTAAACAAAAACACGTGATCTCAAGAGTTTGAACATGGGAAATCATCTGTATGTCAAAATATATAAGTACCTCTCCTTCATTGACTGAGAGAATCTTCATTTTGAAGTTTTCGGCATTAGAAGAATCTGCAAGGAAAATTTGTCAGGAGTAGCATTTAGGGTTAGATCAAATTCTTATAGTTAGATAACTATTTTATAAAATGCAAAGAGATAATAAAAATCTCTAGAGGATTAGATCTTATGCTTACCTGAGGAGTTGTGCCCGGCAGCAGCGTTGGAGGTCGACCCACCCACGCCAGCTGGGGTGGAGATCGATCCACCCACAGCGACTGGGTTGGAGGTCGACCCACCCACATTGGCAGGGGCAGGGTTGGAGGTCGACCCACCCACAGCGGCTTGGGTGGAGGATGCACCCCGCAGCCTTAGCATGGGTAACATTCTGAAGACGTATGGGGTTTGCCTTGTGCGTGCCATAGATTGAGGAAGAAAATGGGAAAAATTAAACCTTCCTACTTTGTAAAGTATCTGTGTAAAAACACCAAGTTCACGAGATCAGAAATTAGTTCAGAAAACCTCTACAAAAATGGACTTCTTATTCGCAGTTCTTTACCTCCGATTAAGAATGGCAAAAGATGAAGGAAGACGCAGGACTTTAGGGTTTAGATCAGAAATTTAGTTCGAAAACCTCTACAAAAATGGACCACAGACTTGCTTTTGGCCTCCGATTAAGAATAGATGAAGGAAGACGCAAGACTTTAGGGTTTACAAAATGATGAGAAGTAGGCAAGACCTAGGCCTGTATATATATAAAAATATATATATCTTCATCCCAATAGACTAATCTTTCAGAACAAATTTGGCCTATTTAACCAAGTTTGGATTGGCCCAAGCCTATTTATATTAGAAATATTAGTATACCTACACAACTAACAAATTTGGGTTCGCTAACTTGGTAGGGAGGCGGATTGTGGCGCGTGATAAGGTCCCAGTGGTTGTTGTTATTATGAAAACAACCCCTAGTTCAATGGTAGTAACGTCCAATATTTTTCTTAATAAATCCTGAAAAATATGCCAATAAGTTTATTACATTACATATAGAAGTGATAGGAAATAATTATTCTTTAACAGCTACCGAAAGAAAACTATATGACCGAGCATTATCGTCAAAGCAAATAATCAATGCTTACTATAATATGAACATAGCGATTTATGGGAAGTGCAATGATCTACACCACGAAGCTTGGCATAACATTATGTGATACACATAAATGTTTATAATGCAAGCAAATCATACAAAGTCAGATAAAAAGATTTAAAACACATGCAATCTCAAGATTTGGTATATGAGAAATTATCAATATGTTGAAATATATAACCTCTCATCCGTTGACTGTGAGAATTTTCATTTTGAAGTTTTCCGAATTGGAAGAACCTGCAAGCACAGTTTGCGTACTTAGATCACAATTTTAAAGATACAAAGAGATAATAAAATTCTCTGGTAGATTAGATGTTATGATTTCCATTGAATAATATTAATTACCAGAGGAGTTAGGCCCGGCAGCATGGTGGGAGGTTGACCTACCCACAGCCGCTGGGGTGGAGTATGTAGCCGGCCCGTTGCCTCTAGAGCCTTTTCTGGAGACGAGGTTGTATTTCTTTTATGTGTGCTATAGTTCAATCTGAAAAATTAAACCTTCCAACATTGAAAAGTTACTCTTATGACAATATGGACCGATAGAACGATTTAACAATGAAAACCACACGAAATCAAATGAAAAAACAAATGTAACGTAACTCAGCCCCTAATAAACCCACTTACATACGATTTAAACACAAGATTACAAGAACCGACACCCAAAGATGCGACCAAACAACTTGGTAGCCCCTAATCCTCTCACAACTATCGATCTACTGCTACTTCGAAGACAAACCTTAGATTTATTTGACTAAGAGTGGACAAGAACACATCAATCACAAAATCACTCAAAGAACAGTCAAACAAAGGGACAAAAGAGACACGGTCAGTATACTCGTCACGGGAAAAAAGATCACCTGTTCTCAAACTTCACAAGAACTGAGTGAACTTATCTTACAGAGAAGATTAAAGAGAAAGGAGAAGATATGAATGAGAGAATAACATAAGATATGAATAAGTATTGCCTGCGCATGTACAACATATAGTAGATATATTAGATCAGAATCAATGGCTTGTATGGTTCCTCACCTTGAACACCTTCCCGCGGGCCTATAATTTCCTTGGCTCTCACACGGAAGCGCAAAATACGGAAAGAAAGGAAAACAAGCACAAGGTTCACTTAACTTAGTAAGATGTGTATTTCTCTCAAACTCAGGTAGTTTACAAATGAGGATGACTCTTCTATATATAGACTCTATAATGGGCTGGGCCTAACACATGTTATAGTATATCTTGGATAAGCTCTGTCTATGTAAAAAATTGACAAGGATAAAGTCTGTCTATTTGGATAGACATCAACTTGGTCAAGGGGCAATCCCGGCATTCCTGGAATATTCTGGAATGTTCCAGGAGGTTACTAGTTATTAGCCCATTTGTTCTCGATAGCCTTCTGATTCAATACTCAGCCAGACAAGTGGGGCCTTAGAAAATTAGCTTGGTTCTTACACTTGGGCTTTGGATAAATTTGGGCCTCAAATATCACATGTCGAAATTAATCTTACTCTTTCCCCTAGCTTTTTGTCTTAAAATTTCATTGAGTGTTTAGGGCCTTCATTGCTAAAAATAAAATTACACTCTTACCTAAATAAAACAAAATAGGCAGTAAATAAATTTCAAAAATTGCAACACATCATTGAAACTTACCACTACAACAAAAATAGGTACTATGTTAATAATATGTATTACAATATATACTTTTCATGCACGACTCAAATTTAGTGGAAGATAATACTTTTCTCCAATTTTTATTAATTCTCTAGCCACTGTATCTCTAATGAAATAAAAATGTACATTAACAAGTTTGATCATGAAATTCAAGATTCTTACACAATTGAATACCGGACCTACTATTCATAAAATAGTAATAAAATTACGCAGATAACTGATTTCAGGGATTAAGCCCTTGATGAAAAGGTTTTGCGAGATTTTTAAAATATATTTAAGATAAAGTATAACAAATAATATAAGTATAAAAATAAAAATAAATATAATAGATCTTCCTACATAGTAATTCTAAAAACATCGTCAAAATTAAAAAATTTCTTTGACCGGTGCGTGTTCAAGTCGAACTAAGAGAATATGAGAATTTGATAAGTTTGATTAAAAAAAGTAAAATGAATTAACACAACCGAAGGGCTGAAAAATAATGTAGCTTCTAAAACATAATTTAGTCCAACTTTAAAAACAATAATATATGTGTAGCAGGGTAGAAATTGGATGAAACAATGGATATAAGTGATTGTGAAGTGTAAGTCGGTATTTAAGTGATATAGAGGACTGAGCAAGGTGTTTATGTATTTCCTTTGACTCATGACTTGATTGGTATTTGACCTAAGGGATTACAACGAAACTTTACATCCATAACCAATATTTCTAAGCAAAGCCGTTGTCACCAGACCAATATGCAAACACATATGTCTTATTAATCATTATCAATTTGTTTAACTAGTGGCCCTATCCCTCTGATCTTTTTTTTTTAATTGAGGTTAAATTCAATTCGTAACTAAGCAGGTAGATAAGGCTCTGTTGTACATAATTGTTGCCTATACCTGTTAACAATGCAATGCATGCATAGACATAGATAGTTAAGTTCCATAATATTATCAAGAATCTAATTTAAACAACTCAAGTGTGAAGAATTGTCTTTTTAATTTTCTACATTACTCTTGAATTAAGAATTTATTGTATTTTTTCTGTCAATTTCAAAATAATTAACTTAAAAATTATGAGAAATTGTGATTTTTTTCTCCACTAGTTGCCGCTCATTATTAAGGTATATAATTTTATGACATTAACTCATCCACAGTCATTTCTACTACCGGAATTGGAAAATAGCATATGAGGAGCATGTGTGATGATGCAGAAACACTAAAGCTTTGATGGACTTTCCAGAGCAAATGTGGGTGTTCAGGTGCACTTGTTCTAGCCTCGGCTTGGAAATTAAAATAATTTATTAAATTCAAGTATTATTATTATTATTATTATTATTATTATTATTATTATTTTTCAATTTCGTTATATTTGATTCTCTCTCCAACTTTCCATAAATGTTGTTTTTATCTTGTGTGTTGACTGAGTTCTGCCAAGCATTTCATATTTTCACATGAAATTCTGTTCTAATATTTTCAACATGTCATATAATAAGTTGACCATTCCACCATCCATTTTGGTCATTCTTGTAGCATGTTGGAATGGAACAAAACAAGCTCTGCAGCTAATGACACCATCCTTTATACACATTGCATATGGTGTCAGTATGACAGCGTGACAGCACTCAGCATTTTTGTTTCATATGCCAAAACAAAGAAAAGGAAGTTTGTATTAACTAGATACGATACCAATTGTTGATCATAGTATTGAGTTTGAAATAGATTCCACTAATTGATTGAGTTCTTGAAAAAATAACAATGGGTTTGGTTTGTCGAAAACCTTTATGGATCTAAAATACCAGAGAAATATACAAGGGATTTTGAATTCAATATGGAAGAATAGAACTTATTGAAGTTCATCTTCATCTTTCTATATAACTTTTTAAATCAAAGTTAAATTCAACTATTACATACTTTTTTAGATCATAGAATGTCCACTAATGATAAAACCATGTGGGGAATTCTTTGACAAGATTTGTATTAAATGTAAAAAAATAATGAGTGATTGAATGGATGGTACGCCAAAACATCTAGAAGTATTGAGATGTGTAGTCATTTGTGATAAAGTTGACTAAAATTGTTTTTCTAACGAATAAAAAAGACCATTCATGCTACCGACATACCTTTTTAATGATACCTTGGGATTAGGCGACACAGTCATGATTATGAAAATTTTGTGGAGTCAAATGTTTTTAAGTGTGAAAGTTCGGTAATTCTTTGAAAGAAGCTAAAGTAACAAAGTGGGAATAGAGAGAATTGAGCTTTTTACATTAGTTTGAGAAGATTGAGCTTCTTAAATGCCGGTTAATGGAGAAAAATCATAAAAAGGTAAGAGTCTATTGTTGGTAGGAATGACACTCTTTGGGATATCATAGTATTTTGGAATTTGACGACTCGATTGATTTCAAGTGCTTATACACTTACAAGAATGAAAGATTTGGTTGTGCAATAAATGATTGGATATGGTTTGGATTTCTTTTAAAGTGGACCTCTCTTTAGGAGTCTAACGTTTCCAATATTCTTCACCTTACACAAGAAAACTTTCAGAAAATTTTTTTACGAACTCTAAATTATTATTTCATTTCAATAAAAGATTAATAATACGGGCTTTTTCTTTTTTGGGCTGAGATAGAAAATTTGCATGTCAAATTTTGAGATTAGAATTGAACGGAATGTTTTGACATGGCATCGTAGGCTTCAGTTTATGATTCACCATAACCCTTAAGAAATTTTTAAGTGGAGAAATAAAGTAACAAATTCAATGAACTGTTAAAGAGTTGAATATCAATATCAATTACCGGTAGTACATCTAAATTTTTAATATATATATATTTTTTTTTTTGAAAAAATCAATCATCTTGAAAATTTCAAATTTTACTGTTGAATAATTCTTCTATGGTAGAATCTTGCTGAGATGATGCCCGTAACTTCCCATTTCCACTGCCGAAATTCTTTTTCCTAATATTACTATTTTATAGAGTAGTGACTAAGTGCCAACAAAACCAACAATACATGCCTAAGTAACTGCTGGGACCACATTCATCCTTTCACTCACCTATTTCTTATAAGCATAAATTCGTTTAATTCATCCTTTACTGTCATTCAAAAGTTGAATCACTTCATAGGTGTTGGCCACAATGAGAAAGTTTCTCACATCTTCCCCATTGTTTACATTACAAATATACAACCTCACATTGCTATCACTTATATCCATTAGCTCCATGTAAATACACCGGTGCTTATACAGATCTTGTTCGCTTAACAACTCACAATTTCTATTTGCTTCATTCATTGGTCATAGTGGAACACTGATTATAGATGTAACACAGGTTTGATCCAACAACCAATTAATGTACATTCCACAGAGTCAGCATCAACAATCTAACCACCAATATAGACGAAGGAAAGCCATATTTCAAATGCACGTATACAAATTGCAATAAAGGTTAGTTACTTCGAAGTTCCAGGAATGGCACCATCGGATTATCATATCGCCTAGATGACACTGTGCCACCATGTTGACAAATTGGCAATGGCAATTTACCTATTATAAATTTCGAATATTTATTAGTATATTATAAAAAATGGTAAACCTTAAATCAGTGAACTTTTCATAAGTTTAAAATAAAATATAACCGTACTGAAACATCACCATCAAAATACAAAATTAACTTAGAGTGTTGAAAACATAATTATTAATATAAAGAAACACTGAGCCAAAACAATTCGAATTGGGTTTGGTGATGCCAAGACGCCAGCCTTGCAAAACGGTGAGGCAAGCTGCCTGTTGCTGCCGGTGCACTGCCAGGACGCCAAGGTGCCATGAAAATCATGATTATAATGCTCTAAAGTAAAACTAAATTTAAATAGTATATGTTGCTGATAATCACCACAAAATATGAAATAACATGCTACAACACGTGCATAACATACAACCAACAACACATCTTCTATAGAATTAATATCAAGACAACATTTTCGGTTTACAAGCACCATATACAGTTTTATTTATGAAGAATCAAACTCTGCAGGTGGTTTCCTCTACTTCTCTCACGACTCACCCTCGTCATGGGGCAAGCAACCAAGAACAATCTGCAATTGAAGGAAAGATAATGTCATAAAAGACATTTATGGGATGAGTTGGCTACATATATTTATTTTGGAGTCCGATTTCACAAATACATATAAGAGAGATCACAACAACACATGAGAAACAAGAAAAAGAAAGAGACACAACACTATTGCATACAGTGGAACACTTGATGAATAAAAAATTCTTCCAATCAAATATTAACTTGTCACACTAATGACTATGTCGAATGTAAGCATTCTATTCTAATTTATTGAATATTAGATGTATATTTTATTAGTTATGTAGCAACTTTAGTCATTAAATTAAAATCAACATCTTTTGCTAAGCTCAGGCATTTTAATTCAGCTACAGTAATTACTCTATCAGTAGTTAATTTTATCACAAATTTAGTGGTGCCAATCAAAATCCTTCTTTTCAAGAAAGGAACAAACCTGTACAGAAGATGCGGCGATCATAGGTCCTGCTACTATACCGCCAAATGCTGTTCCATCCGGCTGAAGTAAGGCTGTACTCAGCCTTCCATCATTGCCACTTTGAAGTCCACCTCTAGATGGAACAAAGGAACCGACCATTGAAAGAATGTGAAACGGACCCTATACACATAGGCACATAAAAAATATATATATTATAAAATAAGGAAAGAAGACCAACTAGAGAAACATGCTCCTAATCAAAAGGTACCGATATTTATTACTTGAAGATTAAATATTTAATTGTACTTAAAAAAAGTGCAATTCCTAGCATAGCATTGAATTGGCCATATAATTGATAAAACATCCAATTCAATGATTTGTGTCATTCCCAAATTGAATATAAGTGCAACCATAAAATCGTTAACATCAAAGGCAAGTAGTTGAATAAAATGTCATTTAAATGAAACATTTTCTGTACGAGTGCAGATGGATGAAAAAACATTACAGAAGCACGCAGATAAACAAAAAAATAATCAAATAAACAAAATCCGAGAAAGCACAAGTAAACAAACCAAAGGTACCTTCCTAGCAAATTAGAATGAAAAGTCAATATAGATGTAAGTAATTTAGGAAACCTCGTATATTCTAGGTTCGCCGTGTTCCGCAGGTAGTCGGATTGTGGCGCGGGATAATGTCCCAGTGGTTGTTATTACGAAAACAATCCCTGGTTCGGTGGTAGTAGCATTGAAAATTTTTGCTAATAGATCCTGAAAAATATGCCAATAAGTTCAGTATCTTACAAGTGGAAAGTGGTATGAATAAAACAAGCTCTCTCATCAAGGTAAATAAAGTGTTGTTTAACGGCTATGAAAAGATAAATATGTGACAAAGCATCGTCATCAAAGCAAGCAAACAATCAATGCAGTTGATTTATGTAGCTACATACAAAATTACGAGTATAGCAATTTATGGAAAGTGCAATGATTTACACCTTCACAACACGTGGCATAACATTACACGATACAAATATAAATGCTTGTAATGCAAGCAAATCATACAAAGTTAACAAAAACACATGTAATCTCAAGAGTTTTAACATGAGAAATCATCAGTATGTCAAAATATATAAGTACCTCTCCTTCATTGACTGAGAGAATCTTCATTTTGCAGTTTTCGGCATTGGAAGACTCTGCAAGGAAAATTTGTCAGAAGTAGTGTTTAGGGTTTGATCAAATTCTTATAGTTGGATCACTATTTTATAAAATGCAAAGAGATAATAAAAATCTCTAGAAGATTAGATCTTATGCTTACCTGAGTAGTGGTGCCCGGCAGCAGCGTTCGAGGTCGACCCACCCACAGCGACGGGGGCAGGGTTGGAGGTCGACCCACCCACAGCGGCAGGGGCAGGGTTGGAGGTCGACCCACCCACCGCGCCTGGGGTGGAGGATGCACCCCGCAGCCTTAGCGTGGAGAACATTCTGAAGACGTATGGGGTTTGCCTTGTGCGCGCCATAGATTGAGGAAGAAAATGGAAAAATTAAACCTTCCTACTTTGTAAAGTATCTGTGTAAAAACATACAAAGATTGAGGAACAAAGCGAGAATAAAAGGCAAATACACATCTATAAATTTACAATATCCCAAATCGCCAAATGACTCGTCTAACACCAAGTTCAGAAGATCAGAAATTGAGTTAAAAAAACTTCTACAAAAATGGACTAGCAGTTTTTTACCTCGGATTACGAAACGGAGAAGATGAAGTAAGAGGCTGGACTGTAGGGTTTACACAATGCTGAGAAGTAGGCAAGACGGTAGTGATGGCAATGGCTCAGGTCCAGCCAGACCCGAGACCCGGCCCGACCCGGCCCGGCCAGAATACAGATGGTTGGAACCCAAGACCCGACCCGAACCCGACCCGAACAATACCCGACAAGACCCGAATCTTTTTTTAAAATTCTTAATATTTAACTTAAAATTGGACTCGAACCGGATCCGAACTCGACATATATTAAAATTTATATATTTTATTCAAAAATATTATAATAAAATAATAAAAAAAACTAAAAACATTTTTTAATATAATTTATATTATTAAAAATTAATTTTTTTATATATATAATTAATATATTAATAGTATATTAATCGGGTCCGGGTCCAAGTAGGATCCACTACTTGACCCGAGACCTAACCCGGACCCGATACTCGAATAATTGGACCCAACTCCAAATAAATGAATTGGCCGGAGCCTGTTCGGTATTAAAAATATCAGTATACCCAACCAACCAATATATTTGATACCCTAGAAATTGCAAAGTTTATAGCCAAAAAATGCAAACTATGATTCCACCCTTTGATCCAAAACCCGTGTACAATCCACACAGTGAGCATCAACACTTTTACAACCAACATAGACGAACAAAAGATATACGTCAAATGCAACTATTAAATTTGCAATCAAGGTTAGTTATGTTTGGATTGCGGGCATGGCACCAAGGGACTATGATATCGCCTAGTTAACATAGTGCCCGCCATGATGAATTGGCCAACTTATCAATGATAAATTTCTAATATTTAATATAAAATACAAAATATAAAATACTAACCTTAGATCACTAAACTTTTAATACATTTAAAATAGAATATCATCTTACTAAAACATCAAAGTATTAAACATCACTAATAAAATACCAAATATCAAAGATGTTAACTTAAAAGTTTCAAAAACACGATTATTAATATCTATGAAAAACTATTAAGTACTCATGCATAATCAAGAAAATTAGATATAAAATCAACAAAATAAATTGGTATGAAAAGAGAAATAAGTATACAAAAAACCTTGCATATACTGATCAACGACGGCAGTGATGGCGCATGGAGAAAACAAAGGCAAATAGGACGAGAAGAGGAAATAAATGTACCAGCAACCTCGGAGTTTTCGGGTTTTAAATTCAAGCTGGGTCATGTACTGACTCAAACAATTCAAGTTAGGTTTGGTGATGCCAGGCCGCCGGCCATGTCAAACAGTGAGACGAGTTGTCATGTGATACTGGTGCACTAGGAGGCCAAGGCGCTGTGGTAACCTTGATTATGCTCTAAAATAATACTAACAATACTATATATTGGTTTTGATCACCAAAAAGAATATCTTGAGTCTAAAGAAGTGTATTCATTTGAGATTTGATTGAATTAAAAAAAATCTATTGATTTATATAGATTTATATAGATTTAAAAAATCCACCAAGTTTATACGTAGTTTGATGAATTTTATATATTGATTAAAATGAATTTTATAAATTTAATTGGATTATTTATAGATTTATATGAATTTCATATTATTGTAGAATAATTGTGTTATTAGTTTATATAATTAGTATAAATTTATATGAAACATATTTTTAAATTTTAAAAAATATTTAAATAATTAAATAAAAATACCAAAAAATATAATAGTTAAAATAAAAAATATATATTTTATTAATGATGTATAGTAATTGTAGCATAATACTATTTTTATATATTAAAATTTTTAATTTTATATATGTATATAAGCATTATTAATTTAAAAAGTTTGTGTTAAATGGTGAAATAAAATAAGTATGGAGACGAATAATGTCCCATGGTCAAATGATTTGAGTTTCAAATCCTCCCCATATCTTTTTTAACTAAATTTATTTGAAAATTTACTTTATGATGTAAAAGAAAATAAGAAATAATTAATAATTTCAATTAAAACCATATATTTTTTAAAAATTTGCTAATATTTGCTATTATATTTTTAAAATTTTGAAATTATTATTATTTTTCGCTAGTATATTTTAGTTTTTGAAATTATTATTATTTTATTAAAAGATTATAGTAATATTAATAAATATTATTATAATGTTTATTATTTCTAATAATAATAATAATAATAATTTTTAAAATTTATCAAAAATCTCATGATAATGAGAGATTTCACACTGTATTATTGTCAAGTGATTTAGGTTCAAATCATCCCCGTATCGTAAGTGAACCCTTTTTATTTTAGTGATCATTTTTAATTTTTATTTTATTTTAAAATATAAAAAATAAATAAAATAAAAAAATTACAAATTAAAAAATTAAAAAAATAAAAATTATATACATTTCTGCTAAGTCAGCGTCATGTGCCCCATACATGGATAATTTTTAATTTTTATAATAAAATTTTAAAAATATCTATAAAAATATAATATACAAATTATTAAAGGCCGCGTGTTGTTGACCTGGTAAATATGTGAATAATTTTTACTTTTTATTTATTTATTTTTTAATTTTTATGTTTTTAAATTTAAAATTTTATTTATTTTATTATTATTATTATTATTATTATTATTCGCTAATATATTTTAGTTTTTGAAATTATTATTATTTATTTAATAGATTCTAATAATATTAATAAATATTATCATTTTTATCATGTATCATTTATTCATGATTTTCAACAAGAATTTCATAAAATTCATAGAATTTTAAAGTACATAATTTTTGAATACTTCAGTATTTAAAAAAAAAAATTAAAAGTGAACGCCTCATGATTTTAGAAAGACTTGTTATAGTGAAATATGAATTGATGTGATGTTTTTTTTACGTAGTTCAATCTATTTCTCTGTCTCATCCTTGCGGTGTGGTGAGCAACAAAGTAGGATCTGCAATTGAAGGAAAAAAAAAAATGTGATAAATTACATATTTCGACAATGATCAGGTTACATGTATTTATTTCAACTTATGATTTCACAAAAAGAAGAAAGAGACAGCATGATCACATATGGTGATAAACAAACTCCCGCCACATTTAATTGAACACTTGATGAATAAGATTTGTCTTCAATTAAATATTACCTTGACACACTAATGGCAAAGAAAATCGATGCATGCTATTCTACTTTACCAAATACTTAGATGCATTGATATTAGTTACATAGAAACTTTAGTCATTAAATTGAAATCAAGATATTTTGCTAAACTTGGGGATTTTAATGCTGCTTCAGGAAAGGAACTAACCTGCAAAGGAGATGCAGAGATAAACAAACTCAGGCCACAATTGATGGCACACTTGATGAATGAAAATTGTTTACAATCAAATATTCCCTTGACACACTAATGGCTAAGCTAAATGTAAGCATGCGCTTCTAATTTTCCGAATATTTACATTTACTGGACGAAATAATACAATTCTATTTCTTGACGAAATCCTGCTTTAACGACTATAGAATTAACTTGTACTCGAGCTGCAGTTATCATGGGACCTTCTTCAATACCAACGAATTGACTTCCATCAGGACGAAGTAAGGCTGTACTAATCCTCTTGCTGCCTCTTTGAATCCCATCTTTCTATAGGTGCCTTCATGTCCCACCCAAGCATTGTCCATTTTTGGGCTTTTTAAATTTTCATTGCTACTCAGACCCATAGCTGCACAACCCGATCCTTATAGGCTACGTCGATCATGCATACTTTTTATCACCACACTTGTAGGATGAAAATATGACATAATCCCGCGGCATCAACCCCTTTTCCTTTGCAAATCCGTCCCTTCCTCGAGTGAAGACAAAGCTCTGGCTGCTTTTCCAATAGCAGTACCGGCTCTGATCATGCCAAGGAGAGCTTGGGTGCTGAACTGGCTCTGAACGTTTGGCTCCTTGAGAGTGGTGTCCGTCCACAGGAAGTTCCAGGGCTGCGGAGTCGGTTGGCAGCGCTATCATATGCCATAGCGGCTTCAGTTTCGGATTTAAAGGTTCCTAGCCGGATGCGCTGATGGTCTGCATATATCTTTGCACCCCAGTGCCCATTGATTTGGCACACCACACCTTTGAGTTTGGAAGCTGAGGCTACTGCAGGATGGGAACCGCTGCCGGAGTCAGATATGTCGCTGGTAGACGAGCTTTTTGCAGCAGTGTTGGAAAAGAGGCTCTCAAAGTCCGTGACCGGTGTTGAAAAACTTGGGCATTTTAATTCTGTTACAAAAATTACTGAATCAGTAAATAATTTAATCATGACTTTTAGTGATGCGAATCGACAACCTTCTTTCGAGAAAGTAATTAACCTGTAATGGAGAGGCAGCTATCATGGGACCTTCTACAATACCACCAAATGAAGTTCCACATTGATATATTGTGAAACAAACCCTATACACACAAAAAAAAAATTATAATTAAAGATAGACAACCAACTAGGGAACCATTTTCCTAATCGAAAGGTACCAATAATTATAACATGAAGATTAAATATGAAATTATATTTTTTTAAAATAAAGGGTAAAATTTAAATATAAGAACAACCTACAGAAGCGTGTGCACACACAAGAAAAAAGTTAAATAAATAAAATCCAAGGAAATACTAGTAAACAAACCAAATGTAACCTCCTATCCAAAAGAATAAAAATCAATATATAGATGTAAGTAAATTAAAAAACCCTATATATTGAGGGTTCTACATGTTGCACGGGTAGGGAGATTGTCGCACAAGAAAAGGTTCCACAGGTTGTTATAACAACTATTATTTTTCTTAATATATCATGAAAAATATGCCAATAAATTCACTACATTACAAGGGGAAATCATAGGAATGAAGTATAGTTCAACTGCTATGGAAAGATAAACATATTACTGACCATCATTGTCAAAGCAAACAATCAATGTAGTTCATTTATGTAGCTACATACTAAACAAACATTGTGAATTATAGTAAGTGCAATGATCTACAGCTTCACGACGCGTGGCATAACATTACACGATACATATATAAATGCTTATAATG